TTATACTGATACTTTTTCCAGACACGCAATAAAGCATTCCTTAATATGTGACTTTTAAAAGTCTTATCCACTTTCTTGTCATATAATAAATAAGCATGCCAACCGTAAACCAAATCATATCCCTCAATATTCAATATTCTTTCTTCTGTTGAATTCATCCAGTCACTAATTGCTGATAGGGCAGCTGCCTCATAATATAATCTTAAATTGGGCATTTTGAGACCTCCTCTTTCACGTATATCCTGCATTATTTTTTGCTTTATTCTCGGTCTCTTTCCTGCCCAGACAAAATTATTAATACCCTTCTGCCATATCTTCAAATTTTCATCTTTTTTAAGTATTGGTATCATTTGAAAAAGAAATAAAAACTTAGGCAAAACATTCATTTTTACTGCTGCTATTCTTCCCAACAAAGATAATTGTAATTTTTTCCAATCTCTCTCTGTATTTTTTGCCACAACGGATCATAATTATGCTTAAATAATTTCGCATTTGATGTCGTAATATAAACCCCTAAATACTTAACTTTTTTTACTATTTCAAATCCTGTTAGTCTTTCTAATTCTTCTTTTTGATTTGTAGTCATGTTTTTAGTTATTATCTTTGTTTTCCCTGCATTTATTTTAAGTCCAGATACTTGTCCATATTGATTAATTATATCCATTAAACCTACAACCGACTGTAATGGTTGGGTTAAAGTAACAACCAAGTCATCTGCAAATGCTCGTAATCTGTAATCATACTGCCTAATTTTAATTCCCTTTATTTTATCTGACCCATGTATTTTACTCAACAAAAATTCCAAGGTCAAAATAAACAATAATGGAGACAAGGGACATCCTTGTCTTGTTCCTTTTTCTATATTAAAAGTATCTGTTAAACTACCATTAATTATTATTTGCGCTGTTTGTAAAAATATGGAACGCTTCACGAATTTGCGTGTCATCCTTGCGCAGGGGCCATGCTAATCTTCTCTGTATCGTTCCAATTTTAGTATATGTGCTGCCGAAGCGAGCACCACTAGAAATATATTTTATTGGCCGCCTATACTAGGGGAGGCTGCAAGCTCAGGGTAGTTTACTAATAAAACTGGTAAGCACAAAAAGTTAACTCAGATTGAGAAATGGTATAGAATTATTCAATATTGCTCATCAGTCTTCATTCAAAGTTCTCTAATAGTGTTCCTGTGCCTGACCTCTTTTTTCCCAGAGGAAAAGAAGGATTTTTATTCCTCTCCATGTGCGGAAGTGAACTGCTCCGGTAGGCTCAGGAATGGAGCTCCATTTTCTCCATCCTGCCAGAGTTCAGCTCTGCTCAGTAGACAGCTCTTTCAGCCAGCCCCCAGAGATGAGAGGGAGTCATTTCAACAGGCAGCAGCAGTTTGCAACATTCCCTACTGGCTTCCCCATTGACTATCTGGGAAAGCTGGCAGAGGAGATTACAAATAGCGATCACATGATTGTGCAGCACTTGGCCACAGGTCTACATGCAAACAGTTTGCCAAGCACTCAGATTGCAACTATGTGATTGCGAGGGGGAGGGGGGAGAGGAGAGCAGATGTTTTACGATGGCTGGAATTGCTTTATGGGCTGTTTAGTTCCTTTTCTGAGGTTGTTGTAACTTTGAGTGGTTTTTAAATGACCAAGTGTAAATCAAGATCTACTTGTATATCTAAAGAGGCAGGATAAATCTATACCTTTGACACCATCAAACAACATCTGCCTAGCCTAGATTCTTGGGAAGAACATAATAGGTGAATAAATATGCCAATAAATATCTGGGTGATTTTGTGACCAACTATAATAATAATTAGTTATGCAATAAAATAATGTTCACCAAAGTTACTTCTTGATCAAAAATGTATGTTCATTCTCTCAGATTTGTTAAGATCTATGTGTTCTTCCATATTTTCTTTTACAAAAGTCGGGATACCATTTCAATAAAAAGACACATTGAATCTCTATAATGGCTATTCCTGCTAGTTTTATCAGTGTCAGTTATATAGTCTACAAGTATTATAAATATTGAAATAAATTTAACAAATAATTATTAATGGACTAACACTGAATTTATATTTAATCTTTCTTGTAACGTTCACATTATTATTGTTTGCATAAAAGAATACATGCACTAAAATGTGAACAAAAATATTATTCTGAACACCTGTAACTGGTTCTCAGACTGTGAAGGAGCAGTTGCATAAATAATTCACAGTTTGAAGGTTTATCTTGTATAGTGAAAAGAACAGACTGTAAGAAAAAGGAGGAAGGCTGGGAGGAAAAGAGTGAGGAAGTCTCTGCCCCAATGTATACTGGACTTAAATATAAAGTGATAATTAAGAAAAATCCAGTTGCTGGAATTTTTGTATCACTACAGCACTCCTTTCATCTTAATAAAGCTAGCCAAAGAGAGGGGGATTTGTTTTTGGAACCTAATCCCTTTCAGATTAGGCAGCTGGCAAACACCTGACATACCTTTTAAAACACTCTATACTCTCTAGCTCTCACTTGGTTCAAACATTGTACTTTGCAACAAACCACACAATGACTTTCTCTTTCCTTTTATATATACAAGTCAATTAAAGCTTTAGTGCATTTGGGAAGCTGTTCAGTTTTTGCTTTTTAAAATATTGAATTATAATTTTAGATATTAGTGATAAAGTGCTATCATTTCATGTTTTAAATACTGCATACTTTGGACTACATCATTGGCTAATACAAATTAGTCATCCAGGTCATGGTTGTCCCAAAAGTGCTTTTTCAAAAGGCAATTGGACTTATTTTTTTCCTTGAAATTTATATGTTATAAATATTCGTTGTTGTTGTTAGTTGTGAAGTTGTGTCTGACCCATCGCGACCCCATGGACAACATTCCTCCAGGCCTTCCTGTCCTCTACCATCCTCTGGAGTCCGCTTACTGCTTCAGTGACTCCATCCAGCCATCTCATTCTTTGTCGCCCCGTTCTTCTTTTGCCCTCAATCTTTCCCAGCATTAGGCTCTTCTCCAGTTAATCCTTCCTTCTCATTAGGTGGCCAAAGTATTTGAGTGTTATAAATATAAGTATATATAAACCCATTTCATTCTTCTTTCAGGCACTGTTTCATGTATACAAAGTTATCTCATTTAATGTCAAAGAGTTTCATTTTTCATAATCAGTTTTATGTTTGTGAAGTTGTGTGTTCCTATGCTATGATAATTGAACATTTTTGTATAAATAGTATAAGCTTTTTTAAGCAGTTTGAATAAGGATATAAGCTGAAACTGGAATCATTTTTAATTAATTAAAGACTCTAACAGCGACTGTTCCAAAATCAGCATTGCTTGCCCCTTAATCAGAATGCTTGGACAATAAATGGTTCCCCCACAATCCCACTTTGCAGATGGTGATAAAAGCTTTAAGCTTGTTTGAAGCATGCTTCATGTATTTCTCCTCTATTGTTTTAACAGCTGTCATACTTGGCATACTCATTGCCTATTCAATTCGTGAAGGTGACAACATTTATTTTTGGAGTTAAAAATCCCCTCCTTTTAAGATTTAATTCCTAGGAAATAAAGTGTGACAAATACTGCTGTAAAAATATTGGCTTTATTAAATTCTCTGTAGTATGTTTCTGGCTTAAATTTCTTCAGTGGACTACTGTACTGTTTTTCTTTACTGTAATGTGAAATTTGCCAAGGCAGTATAGCTTCTCTATATAATGAGGAGCTGTTTTACCAATAAAGCATTCTTAGAGAATATAACCTGGAAAAACATGTGATATTATTTATAATATGTCATTTGAATTTTGTGCAGTATTTGAATTTTGACATAGTAGAATTCTTTGGAAGTCAGATTTGTGTTATCTTTTGAAATCCATATTCCTAGTAGGGTGTTCCTTCTGTCAGTTTGAGGGATTCCTGGACCTGTTACTCTTCCTCTTTGCTATTAGTACTTATTTATATGCCTTTTAAAATACTAATTACTTGCTTTTATAGTTGCAAAAGAAATAATGATTTGGTTCAGGTTAATCCAGAAGAAGGCAAACGAGCAGTTACAACAGTGTTGAAAAGAAGAGATGGGTGCATTCTGAATTCTAGAGAATTAATTAATTCTTAATTCTGTTAATAATAGCTATATGGGTATTTATTTGGACAGTTAACCTAGATCAAGGTTGGTCTACTTGTGGCCTTTAAATGTCAAAGTTTTTCAGAAGTTATTTGCTATTGCCTACTTCTAGGGCTGAGAGAATGAGTGATTGGCCCAAAGTCACCTAGCTGACTTTGGGCCTAATGTTGGACTAGAATTCACAGTCTCCTGGTTTCTAATTTGGTATCTTAACCACAACATCAAACTGGCTCTCTATAAAAACTGCAGGGATTGTACAGGCCATCGCCAGGAGTCAACATTTACTAGAAGGCACACACACATATAGCTTTCCTTTCCCCATTATGTATGAAATTACATTGATTGCACAAAACCATACATTCCAAAGGAATATTTCTTTAGTAATCTTAGTAACCAATTAATTATAGCTGGGGGAACGAATGAGTTTTTATTTATGAGTTATCCTAGAAGAAGGGTGTCTACTATCGGCCTTTACTGTAAATGTCAATGAGCTATAGGCTCCCAATATCACATGCTAGCCATGACTGCAGGGAGATGAAACTCGGCAGAAAGAGCAACAGGTTGCCCACACCTGACCTAGAATGCATTTTATAGTTAATGATCTAAAGTTATTACTCCATATTTAAAGTGAGTGTTTCTGTTAAGAATGCAGCTGATTCTTTTGTAGAATATGTAGAAATTACAGTAGCTCACAGCATTCTGTGAATTCTATTAATTATTTCTTTTAGATATTCCTTTGTCTAAACATATTCAGCATAGATAGAAAAAATGCAGTGGAATTAGACTTAGCAAATAGTGATTATTTGTCGAGAATTTTTAAGAAATAGATTTGTAGACATATTAAGTATTGACACTATTAAATTATAACACAGTGTTCTTTTTATTTGTTATATAGCATTATGCCAGTATATACAGGCCTCTAAAGCCCAAGATGGTGGTGGCCGTTTCATTTCAAGTTCAGCAGAAGGTAAAAACCAGGAGGAAAAATAATCAAAACTCTGGTTCATATTTCTTTTCTAATATTTCTGTCCCTTGACCATCTGTGCCTTCTAGATTTTCCTTCACAGAATTGTTTTATAACGGATGATGGATTCCAGCCTTATAAAAACCAAATAAAATTAAAATTGATGCTATGTATATTTAAACTTTTTATTTAAGTTTTGCATCTTTTATCTACGTGTGCTTTTCCTAACTAATTTTAAAGTGGGAATTCGTTTTAAAACACAAATAAATATTTAAAATAAATGAAGTAGCTTATGTTGCATTTATATAAGGAAAAGCCCAACTAGATAATTATATGCAAGGCACTATCAATACTATAATTTCATTCTGCTTCCTCTTTCTTGCTAATCACTACTTTGCATTTCCTGCTTCTATTAAAAGGACTAAATTCAAATATTTCTTTACTTCCTAATTATGTTCTTTCTAGCATCTACATTAATAAAGTTTGAAAATACTGTGATTGATCACTTCTTTTTCAATTTTTCAGGTGAAAATTTTGAGCAAACTCCATTAAGACGCACATTCAAGTCCAAAGTTCTGGCTCGTTATCCAGAAAATGTAGAATGGAATCCTTTTGATCAGGATGCCGTGGGAATGGTTGGTAATTTTTATTTTACATCCCATTTTTTCTCTTGAATCAATGTGGTGTGGTACAGACTAAATTTTCTTTGTAAGTGCATCCCAAGGACATATCTGGTTGTATAATTCAGCTCTTAGTTTTTTTTTCACCTGCAAGTCATACTGAAGCACAAGAATCTAAATCGAACTGTAACTGGTCCTTCAACCAGAAAGTTGTTTAAATTAATGTTGTATTGGAGAGTCCAAAAATAATAGAGATGAATTTACACATGATGGGAAGTGAGTTTCAAGAAAAAAAGACGCAGACCTCCAAATATACACTATACTCATATATATATATATCTATTAAACATTCACTACATTTTTCAGAATTGTATGCACCTCTGTATCATTTTCTGGATTCTGCTTCCACCCACATAAATATATATGCAATAAGACAAGAGTATAGCACAGGATGTCCAATATGATGGTGAACATAAACTTCAAACTACCTTCTATACCTACCTCATCCACTTATGCAGTACTTAAACTACAACTAAGATACAGAACATGTACCCTCTAGATTGCATATAGATTGTCAGCATTTGTTTTTCATCCCTTTGGGTTGTCCAAGAATTAGAACAGGACCAGAAATTTCTACTGTAGGTGTATTTAAGATATTGTTATTTCTTTTAATTTTAAATTAAAATTTAAATCCCATCTGTTTTTCAAGACGTTTTAATAAAATTAAATAATTATCTGTTAAATAACAACTTAAGAATGAACAGTCTTCCATAAAATAAAGTGAAATGAAATAAAGATTAATGTGAATAACATTCAGAATAAGAATTTTCAGAGTAGCTATACAGTTAAATCCACTTGTTCTAATATGTGGGAAATTAAATAGTACTAATAAATGTGTTGACCACAAATCTGTCTCTCTGTTTTAAGAGGAACAAGTGTCCATTTTCATTTCTCTTTATTTAATGATGGTTTGGAGACATTTTTTAAAATAATTGGAATGATTTTGGATTCAAGATCTTATTTCCACTGTTTGACATTTTAAGGAATATATAAGGCTGTAGATTTGATCAAAAGAGGTTGTTCATGGGAATATGAATGCGCTATTTGTCTACAACTCATTAAATCAGCCACCTCTCACTGATGAAACACAATCCTAATACAGTGCAGCATTTGTGCCCTTGTATGTTCCAAAGCACCTCTTCTGAATTGAATCTAGAGCATTGCACAGTCCTACTCCAAGTGAAATCTAATGGTTTTGAATCTGAGTTGCTCCTTTGTTTATTTGAATTATATTGGGTGTGGTTTTTATAACTTCTTTAGTATCTTTATTCCTCTTGCACTATATCTCACAGCATTTTGAAAGGTTTGGCTAATAAATTTGTGAGGGGGGTGGCAGGAGACTGCAAATGGGAATGAGGAGAGATATTCCATGAATATGAACCATAGGAAGAAACATAAGATACAAATCAATTTTAGCACTGAGAGTGAAAAATGTATTCAAGTAAGTGATATATAATCTTTTCTCCAACTTTCCTTTCTCTCTTGCCTAGCTATGTATGCCTAAGGGTCTGTCTTTCAAGACACAAGCTGATGCCAGAGAACCTCAGTTTCATTCATTCATCATTACACGTGAAGACGGATCACGGACATTTGGATTTTCTCTAACATTTTATGAGGAAGTTACTAGTAAACAAATCTGTAGCGCAATGCAGACATTGTATCTCATGCACAATGCGGAATATGATATTCTTCATGCTCCATCCACCAATGATAAAGATAACCTTAGCACTATAGAGGATTGTAATGGTACCTCTGTATCAAAACTACAGCGATTTAACTCATACGACATTAGTAGAGACACACTCTATGTCTCTAAGTGTATTTGTCTGATCACTCCAATGTCTTTCATGAAGGCATGTAGGAAAGTGCTTGAACAACTCCATCAAGCTGTAACTTCACCTCAGCCACCACCATTACCGTTGGAAAGCTTTATCTACAACATTCTATATGAAGTTCCTCTCCCTCCAGCAGGAAGATCTCTAAAGTTTTCAGGAGTTTATGGACCTATAATCTGCCAGAGGCCAAGCACCAATGAATTGCCATTATTTGATTTTCCAGTCAAAGATGTTTTTGAGTTACTTGGAGTGGAGAATATGCTTCAACTCTTCACCTGTGCTCTTTTGGAATTTCAGATACTGCTTTATTCACAACGTGAGTATAGCTTTTTTTAAATTGCAAATGATGGGAAAGTTTATAAAAATAACTACATTATTATTGTTATTGTATAGTCAGATGTTTAGACTGGATTTGACATTTTTATCCGCCTGTCAAGTCCTTCCCAAAGCTCTAGGATAGGCAGATGTTGTTTGATGATATTAAAGGTATCATCACAGAAGGTGAACTATTTTGTAATTGACTGGTGATGATTATTGTTGATCAGACAGTCAGCCAGATGTTTAGACTGGATTTGGCAATTTTATTCACCTTTTAAATTCTTCCCAAGGACTTGGGATAGGCAGATGTTATTGTTTGATGGTGTTAAATGTATTATCATAGGATGTAAGCTGTTCCAAGTAAAGCTGCCTTTTGCAATTGACTGATGATGATTTTGTCAATGCCAATTGTATTCAAGTGGTGTTACAGATGTTTTGGGATTACACTCAAGGTACCTATTACTATTGGTACTATCTTTGCTTTCTTATGCTACAGACATTCTTCTATTTACGGGGTGGGTGGGGGTGTTGTATTTTTTTATTTGTTCCAGTTCTGTCTTCTCTTCCATTGTCTCCGAGCACTACAGCGTCCACTATCCAGACTTTTTAATTTTTCTTATCAATAATTGTTAAGTCTGGGGTGCTTTGTGACAGGTGCTTGTCTGTTGGAATTCTAAAGTCCTAGGCAGGGCCGGATTTTCCTATAGGCTAACTAGGCTTCAGCCTAGGGCCTCAAGATCAAGAGGGGGCCTCAAGATCAAGAGGGGCCTACATTCAAATTTTTAGCAAAATTAAAATTACACTTTCACTATAGGTGAAAGGGCCTCATAAGTGGAATAGCCTAGGGCCTCTTTTCATCTAAATCCGGCCCTGGTCCTAGGTTACCTTAGTTTCTTCATTTAGTTCACTTTGTTTGGTAGTCCCACCAGTTCTTGCCTGTATGCAAATGGCATTTTTGCAGATATTTGGTGGTTATTATTATTATATTTTTATCTCATCTCTTCAATATATAATTCAAGTAGCGAACATACCTATAGTAATCCTCCTACCTGCTGCAAGCTAGGTGGCTAAGAGAGAGAGAGAGTAGCTAGCTTAAAGTCACTCAGCTGGCTTTCATGTCTAAGGCAGGCTTAGAATTCAGTCTCCTGGTTTCTCTAGGCCAGCATCTTAACCACTACACCAAACTGGTTCATCATTATGATACATTAACAATGTACTCTTCTTTTTTGTATTATAATAAAGATTTCAGTAGAAGAGTAAATGAGAGTATTTCTTTCAGGTAGATGCAATAAATAAATAAATAGGTGGGATGTGCAAAAATATTTGGAGGGGTTCTTCATTTTGACACCAGTCCTCATGAAAATGTTACTCTTTTGTCCCATATGCATACTTAGATATTATGAGATTCTGAAGCTTTTCCAAAGTTGTTTGAAAGTTGTGTATGTGTGTTTTCTATTTCTTAGTTTTGTTTTATTGGCTTTCAATAAATAAGTGGTCCCAAATGGGAAAGTGTAAAGTATGGTAATTTTATTTTTTGCCTTTTTTTACCAAACACAGAATAAAGACTTGAACTTAACTCTGAGCAGCTACTTAGAATATGTATATTTTATCATGCTTCACTTGTTTTAAAATCTTTTGAAAGGGAAAAGGCTGTTTTCTAAATTTCAAATTATCTAAAATAATTCAATAAAGTTTCAAAGACACAAAATATGGCTTTATTCCTTGCCCTGCTTCATGCTGAAGCAGAAAAAAATAAAACAGAAAAGTCTACCAAACCAATATAGTCATAACTTAAAAGCATGCAAACTAATTTTCTAAGCAAACATTTGTATAATAATGTGTTCATCTTGCTAGTTTCTATAATGAAAAAGTATTTAACCAAATATATACCGGTATTGCACAATTGTTAACTTCTGTGCAAATGTCTTCAGATAATATTTGGCTGTTGTTATAATGTTGTATTGTACTGCTTTATCAAAGTCTCAGCCAGTAGCAACACCTGGGAAATCCCCAGGGAGTACCAGGGCTATAGCTCGGCTGGGAAGTTGAAAAAACATTTCAGAAGAAAGTTATGTCTAATGATTTCCATATTATTATCAATAAACATGTTCTTAAAAGTGATATGTTGAGAATGCTACATCGGAAATGCTGTTGCTAGCCTCATACAGTACAAAACTGTGATTGTCTAGTTTGCAGTTTAGTATGTTGTATGAACCTAGAGAATAGGTTTAATTCAGTAGAGCTTGATTCAGTTAACTAGGGTAACATTGATTGTGACTTATATGGGGCTTAGAGACTTGCTGGTAAAACTTAAAATAGTTGTTGTTTGTATGTACTATGTTTGAAACATATCTACATCTCATACGTATTCTATAAAATTATTGTGCTGAACTGTTAATTTGGCATATTATGGCAGGAATGATGGAGAAGAGAAGGAGGAAGGAAGGATACTAAAATGCTGGTCTTGGAGTAAGGAAACCCAAATTCTACTTCTCACTTAGGCATGGACGTTGGATGACTCCCTCTCCCAGTTTCCCTGTCTTAGATTGGGAAATTAAAAACACTTCTCTTGCACTGGATTTAGCATATTGGACTTTAGTCCATAACCTACAGTGAAGAGGCATTTATCCTGCAGTGAATTGATTTAGTCTGATTCCAGCAATAGTTGTAAAAATTTTGGAATTGGCCTAGAGATAGAATGGGAAGAATTAATTGCCACTTCAGTTCTGAGTCCAATTCAAGGTTCTGGTTTTGACCTTTAAAACCCATCGTGGCATGCTGATGTTCAGAAAGTCCCTCAAGAACTGGCTTTATCATCTGACTTGGGGATTCCGGGGTAAAATATTTTATTGGCTGCATCACAGTGGTTGATTCACTCTTTTCTGTGCCTTGTGATTTTATTTTTTAATGATGACGGCTTTATACTTCTAATAATGATTGTTTCATGTATTTATTATTTTAATTGATTGTTCTACACTGGCAGTCTCCAACCTTTCCAGTTTGGTGGACGGACGGGGGAGGGGGGGGATGGTTCCATATGAGGGACAGGTGCACATATCAGCACACGCAAATCCATGGAATTTTGTGCACGAGCATGAGCACCTGCTGCTTGTGCAAATGGAGCTGTGCACACAAGTGGGAGCACGTGCCACTCATGCAAGTAGAACTACGCCACACCTCCTCTCTTGCCCACTGCTTGCACAGCCTGGTTTGGGAACCCCTGTTGTACACTACCCAGGGTCACTTTTTGTGAGATGGGCAACCATATAAATGTGATAAATAAATAAGCTCTCTCCCCCTGCCCCCCCAATAATCGTAATATATAGTAATATATTAGATCGGAACGTGAAACTATTAGGAGAATATTTTAAATGTGATGTTTTATTATTTATGCTGATTAGCTTTTTAAGATTGGAGTTTGTTGGCTTTATTTGGATTGTGTAGCATAAAAATTATATTAAAGTTAATCTTTAGGAACTAAAGGTAGTTAAATAAAGTATAGTCAGGACTGATTACTGTGAACCTACAATTACTAAAGACATACAGTGCTTCAATGTTGAATGAAAGTTCCTGCTAAACTCAGGAATATTTTGCAAAATTCTGTATATTTAAATATTTTAACTCTTCAGGTTTTCAATGTCTTATGAATAAAGGCAGATGATTTTTATGGTTGTTTTTAAAAACTACCTTGACAAAATTTCTCCTTGCATTGGCTAATTACTTCTGGAAGCTATATTATATTTGCAATCTTTTACTAATAGATAACAGCATGCTGCATCAGGTAACTAGATAATACCTGAATAGAAGTCTACGACACAGATTTGCTTACTGAAAATTAAATCCCACGAAGGTCATTAGATACTGAATTAATAACCATTAGAGAAAAAAATATTGATAGAAATTACTGAGTTTTCCAATTATGTCTTTATTAAAATATTCAAATTGAACTTAGTATCATTTGGGGGGGGTTCAAAGCAAAATGTAGTTTTCTCCTTTTTCAGATTTCTTCTTCTACATATGCTAAATATATATTAAGATTTGAGAATAATATTTCAGGACCAGTGTTTATTGGTGAATCTGCTATGGCTGTATTTGTTCTAAATTGTTATCCAGGGAATGCATAATGACAAATGTAGTATAGTGACAATATATCAGCAAGGTACATGTATTCAGGTACTGCGTCGCAAGAGGCAAGAGGTGCCTCAGCTGTCACATATATTCCATGGCTACAATACTGCAATTGTGAATGCCAATTCTTGCTGTGTTTCTTACATTAATTGCATGTAAGCTTTCAAATCTGCATTTGACCTAAATGTAAATATTAATTGCATTCATAGTTTCACATCTCTGTCTATATGTATTGGAATTGTTTTTAATCACCTACTTCCTCTCCCAGTTTAGAGCACAGTATGCAGCTTTCTAGCAGTTCCGAGAAATAACTGTTGAGCTAGATGAAGAAATTGTTTCTATTTTAAAATTTCTTGTCTCAACAATGTTCTGCTCTTTTACAGTGCTTAGCAGAGTTTTAGCTGCTCCAATCATGATTTCCAGCTATCAGATTCTTTCACCCAGGTCATACAGAATCCAAGCCAATGAAATAGTTTCACGAGTAGAGTGATAATACTATAGATTTCAAACATATTCTGCTGGGTAGAAACAGAAAGTTTAGTTGTTCCCTCCCTCATACATACTTCTATGTATGTTGAACTCAAATAATGTCATTAGGACCTGTGATACATGCATTGTGATTGATCACATTTCTGAGTGGTGAGTGGTGAGAGCCTACAGTAGTTAAGCTATGTGAACATATGATGATTATGTGGATTAAAATAAAGGACGTTCTTAAGATTAGTACAATGATATTATGAATAGGCTTTATGAATATTGTAATTGAAACACTTTAATTATTTCATGTAGTATTAAAAAAAAAACCCAGGGGGTATGATTTAATCCACTGAAATTACAATACCTCATAGCAGATTCTGTGGATTTGACAAAACCTTTATCCCTTCACCCTGCTGGTATACTTGCAATACAATAGGTGTTAAGAGAAATAAAAGATTATCTGTCTCTGTTCAAAGCAAGCGAATATAAAAATGACATCCTTCATTCTATGCAGTGTTTTAAAGAAAAATATGTATTTTCATATTTATAATTTGGATTATAAAATAATATGTATATTATACATACATACATAGTGCGTAGACATATAAAATACATATTTTATTTCATATTTAGTCTCTATTCTTAAACAACTTTAATATTTATTTTTTTAATAACAATTCAATCTATCTTTTTTGCATTTTCATTCTAGTTGTTCCCTAGTATTCAGTGAATAAAGGCTCTAAGTTTATGCCATCAAATTTTGAGGATAATTTTCAAGGGATTGTTTTCAATTGATCTGCTTTTTTAGATTACCAGAGACTGATGACTGTGGCAGAGACAATCACAGCACTGATGTTTCCATTCCAATGGCAGCATGTCTATGTTCCCATACTTCCGGCCTCTCTCCTACATTTTCTAGATGCTCCTGTCCCATATTTAATGGGATTGCACTCTAATGGGCTTGATGACCGGTCTAAACTGGAGCTCCCTCAAGAGGTGAGAAAAATTTTATGAAGCTTAATTTCACTGCTTGTTCAAAGTTAAAAAAAAAAAAAAAGAATGCTGAATTCATTTCAAATCTATTCTTGCTGTGCACATGAGTCCTTAGAAGAAGAGTGATAGTTTACTAAGGAAGGAAATGCCTTGTAACCAGAATCACCACTCATTTATTCTTTCCTCAACCTCTTCAAAGTCTCATTATTTGCTTAATAGGACAACCACTGTTATGATTGGCCTATCGCTTATCAATATATCAGGAGCAATTAAAATTTCTTCTGCTTTCTGTTGCTCTAAATAGATGGAGGGAAAAAACAGCCAGACAGTATATTGCTGCCATTATACAATTGGAAATCACTGTGGAGAGGCTGAAGTGGGAATACTTAAATGTTTTTGCAACAAGGGAAATATCTATTTTTATACTGAGTATGGAATACCTGTGATCCTTTAGACCAGTGGTTCTCAGTGTGGGCCATATTTTTAGATATAATTATAATAATCATATCAAGCTAGTCACAGAGGAATATGATGCTTGGGGGAGGCATAAGAAAAAAAAAGGTTGTATTGTTTTACATTATTTTTATTATTAAATTTCCATGTCTTTCACTAAATAAAGATATAATATGCCTATTTCAAATAGGTGCTGCTAAATGTTTAACCTCTGCTTGTGATTACTCTTATCTCTCTTCCTACTTTAATTTTTAGGCAAATTTGTGTTTTGTGGATATAGACAACCATTATGTTGAGTTGCCAGAAGACTTGCCTCAATTTCCAAATAAACTTGAATTCATTCAGGAAGTCTCTGAAGTACTTATGGCTTTTGGGATTCCACCTGAGGGAAACCTACATTGCAATGAAAGTGCCTCCAAGATGATGAAAAGTCTCAGGACCTGTGACATAGTCTCTGATAAGAGAAATGGCAACATAGGAGGACCAACTATGAATTCTTATGAACTACTGAAAGAAAATGAAACCCTAGCAAGACTGCAAGCGCTTGTTAAAAGAACAGGAGTTAGTCTAGAAAAGGTAAATTGCATAATAGTTACGGGAGTTCTGTTACAGTACATGCATGATTAATGTAGGATGGTTTGGAAATTTTATCTTGAACTAACAGCAAGATCCTTGGTGGTCATATTAATGTTTTAAATCAATCAGTCAATCCCTGGGCAGGGAGTCAGAAAAGCAAGTTGATTATGGTGACAACGGAGACAAAGTCCTGCTCATGTTGTACTGTATATGTGTTGACATCGCCCATATGCACAAAGGCAAAGCTTTGATCACCCAGCTGCAATTGCTGCCTTGCTTTTTTTTTTTTTTTACCCACCCTCTCCCCCATGGACATTGCTGACTAATTAGCTTTATTCCCAGTCCACCTATATACTATCTACTAAACTTAAAAGCTTGCTACCTACAAAGATAATAATGAGATTGTTTCATTAATTTGGTAAGCATTTTCTCACCGAGTTTTCAGGGTGTTTTCCTCCTAATTTTTGTTCCAATTTGTCAGTGGTTAGATACCAGTTAACTATTTCTTAGATGTGGACACAAAAAAAAGAGTGCTTTTCTGATATCTCAATTTTTCCCTTTTATTTCTTCATTATACTATTAAGGAGTAAAGACAATCTGTTTAACACTAATAACAGCATATTTTGGTACTAAATAACCTTTGGTATAATTGATAATGTATGCTGTAAATAGCCTATGCATTCTCTTCCGTTAGAAGGTTTATGTGGAATAATGATTGGTAGCTGGCTACTAAATATGCCAAATATGACTGTTTTCATCTTCTTTTTTTAAAGGCAAATAAGTAAAATCTGATTAAGTCAGGAAAAAAAAGTGTCACAAAATATTTTAGAAAAAGAAGTATGAATGATAAAAACATTTTAATAGAAAAAGACAATTCAAAATTTAAGATGACCCCCCTCCCTCCAAAGGAAAAGAAATCAGAAAAAAAATTAGAGACAGTCTATACCAGTCTATCCATCTTGTTAGTCTAATGTTTCCAACTCCAGTTGAAACTTATCTTGGAGATTTTCGTCCACATAGTACATCTTACTTTTATATTTGCGGGGATATCCGTGGATAAAAGGTAGCGGGGCAAACAACAATGCAGAAACTAACGATGTCAACAACATATACAGAAAACCTTTACAAAATGTTCTACAGATGGCATTTGCCACCAGCAAGAACGGTAAAGATGTTCCAAAACATATTGCCAAAGTGCTGGAAATGTAATCAGATACCAGGTTCCTATTACCATATGTGGTGGACCTGTCTGATGGCGAAAAAATATTGGTTAAAGATAAAAAGGTGGTTAGAAGAAATGACAACACAACAAATAGATTTAAAACCAGAATTGTTCTTACTAGGTATATTACCAGGAAAATATAATAAAAGAATTACATATTTAATATTACATATGATAACGGCAGCGAGAATTATGTACGCACAAAATTGAAAATACACCTATAGATAAAAATGTAATAAAGAAAATATTAGACTGTGCCAAAATGGACAGGTTAACTATGAAAATTAAGGATAAAGAAGAAACAGAATACTATTTAACTTGGGACCTATTTTATAAATGGTTAGAAAATAGAAGCAGAAGTTAGTAATTTATAAATTAAGGACGATTAATAAAATAAAAGTAAATATATATATAAGCAATAATACCATAAGCAATATTATCACTGGATTATACTTGATTATAGATTAATTTGTATAGGGTGATTATATTGTATGTATTATGAGAATAATGGTTATAATTATGGTGTGTATAAAACTATGTGTATTTAAAAGAGATTTGATACAGCACACTGCCGTTGCAGAAATGGAAATGTTATGTATAACAAAGGAAAATGTATAATAAAAATAATTAAAAAAAAACAAAGCACGTGACATGTCATCATACAAATGCCACAATTTACATACTTGGATCAGATATCAGGATAATTTAAAGAAAGGGGCCAGGCCAGGACAAAAATTTGAATTGATGCTACTGATTTAAATTGCTTGCCTATAATATGTGGTTCCTGGTATCAGCTAACCTCTGTCACATATTCTCACATACTCAAACATAGACACATTTTTCTTCCCTCCTCCTAGCAGGAATATGAGTCTGAGGATCTAAATAATTTGTAAAGACAATTTCCCTTGGACTCTATTTTTAATCACGTATATAAAGTGCTAATCTATTGTATTTAGATGCAGTTACTTTATATTTTGCCTAGCAATAAAACAATGGAGTACTATCTGGCAAAGCTCTTGACATTTCAGTTTAAGTAGCACTAATACATTTTGATTCCTCAAGATAGTAAAGCTAACCACTATATGAGCATTTCTTTGCTTAAAGGTTGAACTTCGAGAAGATATGAGTAGCAAGAAGGATCTGAAAATGCAATGTGATGAAGAAGAATTAAAGATTTACCAGCTCAACATTCAAATACGGGAAGTTTTTGCAAATCGTTTCACTCAGATGTTTGCAGATTATGAAGTATTTGTTATTCAGCCCAGTCAGGACAAAGAGTCATGGTTTACCAATAGAGAACAGATGCAGAACTTTGATAAAGTGAGTATGAAAAAATATATTCTTAAAATGAGGAAGAGAATTTATACAAGTTCACGACAAGTGTCTATATACTATAGCTTGTAAAAGTGGAAATAAGAGATCTGAAATGGGGCACAGAAAGATTATTTAAAAAATTATTGAGAACAACCATTAGTACATTTAATTTTCATAAGATTCATGTGATAAATTGTGTGTGGCTATGCCCTAGTGCCACGTAATGGGGTGAGTTCTCGTTAATTGTCTGGCTCTTCAACTTTGAAACGAAGATGAGCACCTCCCCCTAGAGTCGGGAACGACTAGCACATATGAGCGAAGGGAACCTTTACCTTTACCTTTATGCCTTATGAACAATAAGAAATGGTGATTATTCAGATGAATCAAAATCAATATATTTCTACAAATTATAGCTCAGTTACAATATTTTGTTTCTTTCTGATACCACTCATGATAGTAGATATATTACTAAGATTTGAGGAAAATATACTTATTTAATGGCTATATCTGCTGTAATATATTTGCTGTATTATTTGTCAAGGCCACATCCAGAAGGCTTATATGAGAACATGATGGCTTAAAGTATTTTTCTTCCACTAGTAATTCCCTTCTTCTTTGTATATTGTTTTGTCAATTCCTGAAATGTCACAACATTTTAAAGGAAGATATGCTTTCACTTACTGCTTGAATATCTTTTGATCAAGGATGTACAGTATATAAGATTCATGTTTGAAATCTTTGAGAGTCAGTGCTTACTAACTAAATGACTAAAGATCTGATTTCATTTGAAGTAGTTTTTCTGTATGTATAGTTTGGTACAGGAATTCTTCCAGAAAAATAGAGAAGTGCAGATATATTGTTATAATTTCCATTAATTAAAAATTGATCAAGTACAATAATTGAATCCTATAGTATAATTGTTTCCAAATGTTTACTATTTTTGTTACTTCCTTTTTATGCATTCAACTTTTCCTTAAAATTATACAATTTTAGCAGTTGGAAAAACATAGAATCTTTAGTGTTTTTCAGAATGTGTTGTATTAGAATATGATAAAATAGAAAATAACTTCAGATGAATGAAAGCATTCATGTCATTTTTAAAAAGCAATTACAATGTAAGGAAACATAAATACAGCTTCTTTCATTTTATTAGGCATCCTTCTTGTCTGATCAGCCTGAACCTTATTTGCCATTCCTCTCAAGATTTTTGGAAACGCAGATGTTTGCTTCTTTTATTGACAACAAGATTATGTGTCACGATGGAGAGGATAAAGATCCTATCTTGAGAGTGTTTGATTTTAGAGTTGATAAAATAAGATTGTTAAATGTTCGAACACCAACTTTGCGCACATCCATGTATCAAAAATGCAGTACCATTGATGAAGCTGGTAAGAGTTGCAAATTTTAATTCTATTTAAATAAATGTAAGAGGTACAGGACACTAATTATATACTAATAAAACTTAGCTACTACTCACATGTTTAGTTTAGTTTAGTTTAGTTTATTAAACTTCTATACTGCCCTTCTCCCAAAGGACTCAGGGGGGTGTACAGCCATGTTAAAACACACATAAACTCACAAAATTAAAAGACAATTTAAAACAAATATATAAAATTTGGTCCACAAAGTTAAAACTTGACAAACAACCCAATTTAAAATTCATATTCTAAGCCAGCCCGGCCTGTTGGAACAAAGGCACGGTGAAAGATACGAAGGTCGGGGATCATACGAACTTCCAGGGGCAGGTCATTCCAGAGGGCAGGTGTCCCCACAAAGAAGGTTCTCCCCTTGGGTTTTGCCAGTCGGCATTGTTTGGCCAACGGCACCCTGAGGAGTCCCTCTCTGGGAGCATATTGGCCGGTGGGAGGCTACCGGTGGCAGAAGGCGATCTCGTACATACCCAGATCCTAAGCCATGGAGCGCTTTAAAGGTGGTAACCAGCACCTTGAATCGCACCCGGAAAACCACCGGGAGCCAGTGCAGCTCATGCAGGAGAGGTGTTACATGGGTGCACCGTGTCGCACCCATAATTACCCACGCAGCCGCATTCTGGACCAGTTGGAGCCTCTAGGTGCTCTTCAAGGGGAGTCCCATGTAGAGAGCATTACAGTAGTCCAGACGTGACATGACGAGGGCGTGAGTGACCGTGCGTAAGGCGTCCCGGTCCAGAAAGGGACGCAACTGGTAAATCAGGTGAAATCAGGAACCAAGCTCCCCTGGCCACAGCCGTCATATGGTCTTCTAAAGACAGCCGGGCATCCAGGAGAACACCCAAGTTGCGAGACCTCTCTGAGAGGCTCAGGATCTCACCCCCAATAGTCAGCAATGGAGCTAGCTGGCTATATCGGGATGCTGGAAACCATGTGTATCTAAAATACAACTGCAGCAGCATTTTTAAATGATAAATTGGATAAGCAAGACTTGAAGAGTTTAGGGAGGAAAATAAAAATTAAAAAAAACAGGTAACTAAAGAAAATGTACCTAAAACTAATTTACATCTATATCATATATATCTTTGTAGTTATTCTGCTGGAGGTTCCTTGAATAGATGTCTTTATCCACTTACAGAACAATTATTAATTTTATCAAAATTGTTATCACAGCCTCTCATTATTTATTATTTGCATACAGTACTTTCTCTTCCTGCAGTCACTATGTATTATTTCATTATTTCCTTTCTATGATACATTTTAATTATCCATGACCATCAAATAGTTGTTCTATATCCAGAAGCCATCACAACCTTTATATCCTTCAGTAAAACTCTCAATATTTCATCATGAATAATGAAGTCAGTCGTGCTTTTAGATTTCTTTCATTTCTTTTCCATATAGAGACATGAATAGGCTAATTATTAAACCATGTTTTTGAAACAAATAGACTTTGTCTAAACAACTATTCACAAAAATCACCATTTTCATTTGTTCTTAGTCTCAGCCCAGTCAATTTTTCTGTAGTCTCTTGCCTAATCTCAAAGTAAAGTATTTTTTTATCCTGGATAATATTCATTCAGAATGTTGCATAGTTTCCTCTAAAAGCTTACTCTGGATCTACCGTTATCACTATTTTTTGGAATGTAATGTAGGTTTCACAAGCTTATGGATTTCTACTCTCTTATGCACCCACAACATCCTAGATGACACTAGTTCATACTTTATGATTTTGTGAAAACTTTATGAAAATGTTTCCCTTCTCATTGAAGAAGCTTCTTTAGTTAGAACTGAGGAAGTTTCTTCGATGAGAAGCAAAATGTTCTCAAAGAAAAAAAAGACAAGAAAATCTAGTTGCCTTTTAATGAAAGCACTTTTGGGACATACATTCCAAATCATAATTTTCAATAAAAATAAGCCATGCAATTATTACCAGTATGCCCACATTATGATATACTATGTCAGAATCTGTAATTTGTAATCTGTGCAAGCCAATCTTCTGTTGCCCATTTTCTACTAACGATACATAGTGTAATGACATAGAATCAGGATGCAAACAAATTATCAAACAGTTGAGAAAATGGTGTCGGGTCAAAGAGCCTTGGTAGTACAGTGGTTTAAGGCACCCTGTTATTAAGCTGGTTATTAAGACCAGCTGCCTGCAATTACTGCAGGGTTCAAATCTCGCCAAGGCTCAAGGTTGACTCAGCCTTCCATCCTTTCTAAGGTAGGTAAATTGAGGACCCAGTTGTGGGGGCAATAAGCTGACTTTGTATAAATATACAAAAGGATGAAGGCTATTGCTGAGCACATTGTAAGCCGTCCTGAGTCTTCGGAGAAGGGCGGCATATAAATCAATTTTTTAAAAAAAAAGTGTTTTAATGAGCTACTGCATGCAATATAGTTGTATTGAGACACTCCTTTTTATGTATTTGTGCAGAATATGTATTTCTAGCATAATGTCCTAATTCATATTTTAGGATTCAGATTTTCATTCTTTTATTTAACAATTTAACATCAGCTATGCTAAATAATAATATGATTCAATGTTTTATTCCCCCCCTCCGTCCCCAGAAAAAGCTATTGAGTTAAGACTGGCAAAAATAGACCATACTGCAGTCCTTCCTCATTTATTAGATATGAAGATTGGACAAGGAAAATATGAACCTGGCTTTTTCCCCAAGCTACAATCTGATGTACTTTCAACAGGGCCAGCAAGCAATAAGTGAGTATAGTTTTGCTGTATTAATATGACATAAGTGACTGAATCAGCTTCTCCCTCAGAAAAGTGACTTGCAGTAATTCAGTGTGTTGATGTGGGGGATGTCGTCTTGATTCCCAGGAGGGATGGACTGCATTCCAGATGGCAAAGAAGCTGTAAAGCATGGAAAATTTGGACAGGAGAAAGACTTAAGAAGGCTCCTCCCTAACAATTCCCATAGTACATCTATAGTGTTGCAAATAGTTGCTTTCATTTGGCAAGTCTATAAGTGAAGAACAATAAAAGAAACTTCCCAGAACTAGCTCCACAATAAAGGAAACTCCCCAGAAGTAACTCCACGGGTCTTTCTTGATTCTTAGGACCTGACAATCAATAGTATATGATCATCTGTATCCTGGTGAAAAGCCAATTATGAAACCCTGTGGTCACTGCAAAGGTGCCTGGGGAATGCTGAGTTCCTTCTATGTTTTTCCCTTCCGGAGGAAAATTCTCAGACTTTCTCCCTCCTTTAGTATTGCCATAAGGTGAAAAAAAAAATAAAGAACAGACTCTTCTGGAGTCTGTATAGAATTTTAGTTGCTGTTTCACAGTTGAGTAGAAGAGTTTATTCTCTGTCAACTGGCTTTGCTATCTGAATGATACAGCTGATGAGGAAAAGTTTTACCCCAAGTCAGTTTTGGAAAAAAATCAACTCTCCTGTTCTCTTTCTCTGACGTCACAGTAGTCATCACAATTCATTTGACCCAGTTAAGTGTGTTATGCAAATACAGACCTTGTCTACAAAATGAAATGTTTATTAATTAAAATGTAAAATGTAATTAAAGTAGATTTTTAAAAAAACATTTAGGCTTTCACTAGGCAAAAAGCAAACAAAGCAGATTAGCAAGTCTCATTCACTGTAAAAGTTATACAATAGCAATCATCTCACAATCAAGCATATTTCATTTTTATATGGATGAACAAAAAAAAAATTATTTTATTTTCTCCCATGTGTTTGACTCTTGTAGTTCCACACCATAGTTTTCACTCTTATTAGCATACTTGGTGCTGATGTCATGTTGGCAATTAAACTGTATTATTATTAGCACTTCCAGTTAGAGATGAACATACTTGACCTTATTTATCTAGTGTATCTAAAGAATACAATTTTTGATTTTCTAGATGGACCAAACGCAATGCACCTGCACAGTGGAGGAGGAAAGACAGACAGAAACAGCATACAGAGCACCTGCGTCTTGATAATGATCAGAGAGAGGTAAAAACTGTTTCTATAAACATTTTCTATAAATAGTAGTGTAATTTTCCTGATTTTGTTCTACCAAAAGAAAGGAAAAAGCATTCCAAATCTTTAAAGCTATGTCTATTTATTCAGGAGAATAGTTGACATTTGGCTTTGATTCCATACAAAAAAAATTAAGGGAAATTATTACACACTGTTAATGAATGTGGCATCTTTGGTTCAGCTTTTGGTAGCTGTAATTTATGGGGGACGCCATCTTTACTTGGAGAGATGGCTCATATTTTCAGGAACCTTGAAAGCAGTACCAGAGCTTATGATAGGATCAATAATTTCAAAGGTGGGAATAAAGCAGAATGTGACCCACAATATGAGGGATGGTGAGGCTGTGAAGGAGTGAGAGAAGCCAATCCAAAATAAAACCCAGAAGATGGCAATGGCAACTCTCTTACACATGGATGAAAATTATTTAGGAAACTCTGTAGACATGACTAATATTTAGACAAGTTTCTGTGCCAGATCCTAAAACCCATAGATCAGAAGGCACTCCTCTTACTGGGGAAAACCAATGAACTTTCTGACAGGATCTGGTGATGTGAACTGGATAAACACAGCAGTGCAAATAGAGTCTTGCAAAGACAATTCTTTATTCATTGTTCATTGCCAATATCTACATCAACCAACATAAACATAGTCTCTATATGCAGCCATCGCTAATGGGCAAAATAAAATTGATTACATAATAGGAAACAGAAAAAAGGAAAGTGCAGGGTGTTTCCAGAATATCCAGATGCAAGAGAATGTGCAAATTACCTAATCATTTCATTAATGTCATTATTTGCTCACATAAGCAGTGAAAAATTAAGTAATACATGGAATGAGAAATGCCAAATGGACAGGTTTCAGAAAAGGCAAAGGGACATGAAAGGATAAATAACATAAAATGGATATGAAGAGAGCAAGAGAATGTAAAGAGCTCTTCGTTTGCTTTCTTGTGTTCAGCCAGCCCTTGATTGTATAAATCATATTAGAATGTGGTTTATATAATACACAAGAAGCTACAGAAAAAAGAGGTTGAAGAAACAAGGTGGTTCAGAATAGGAAAGGGAGCTAGAAAAATAAGTGTGTGGTCCTTATTTCTACTTATGTAACATAAAGTATTACAATCAGTAATCTACAGGTGATTACTAAGAAACCAGAGGTTATGTTCATTCTGATTGCTCTCTGAAACAATGATCAGTAACCATATGCTTACATATTTGAGGCATTTTTTTTACCAGCAGGATTTATTTATTTAGCGTATGGTTGGTCACATACAGTATTAAAACACTTCATTTTTACAGGTTAAAAACAATTAAAACAATAAAAAAACAGTAAGAAAACCTAAAAGGAAAACAGAAATAACATTTCAAAGTTTAATGTCGAGTTTGGAGATCCAGTCAGTAGCTGCCGTTGTTATGCAGAGGAAGTCCCTAGAATCTCCTGGATACCTTCTGTTAGGGCATTCCCTCACTATATGCTGGATGGTCTGTCGAGGGGCCCCGCAATCACATTGTGCTGAAGGTGTCTTTCCCCATTTATACAGGGAGTCAGCACACACCCCATTTTTTTTTTCCAGCAGGATGATGGACTAGGAAAAAAAAATGTGCTTGGTAAGGTTAAGTAGAAAGGAATAACAGAATGAATAAGGTGGTCAATATCAAGGAAATAACTAGAATTCTTTGGAGAACTACAGATTATCATCAGAGACAAATCAAAAAGGAGGTCTTTTGTCCATAGTGTTATTAGGAGTGAAAACTGCGACGATACCTAACTGAATTATCAGATGGGATATTGTTTTACCTAAATGTTTGTGCTAAAAATTGCCTACATTAGTTGTCAAAAATCAGTCATATGACTACTTTCCATTAAACAATTATTACCTATTGTGAAAATACATTGAAACCTCAATTTACCAAACCATGATACAATAAACTTTGTAGGCAATATATCAGATTTCACAACCATTTGTAACAATTGCTTAATCATGTCAGTTTAAATCATTTGTAAAATGACATCATCATACAAATGATATAACTACATAAATGGTGCAGCATAATTTGTATTAGTCTTAGATTGTAAATGGTTAATTTGTATAATGACATCATTACACTTGCAGATGATATAAATTGCTGTGATCACATATTCTCATTTAGCAGACAACTGAGAATAATGGATACCCCTCCCCCTCTCTGGTCCATAAAATCAAGGTTTCACTGTATTCTAACGGTACTGAGCAAAAGAGAAAAAAACCCAATATGATGTAATTGATAATAGTTTTAAAGGAAAATAATTTCTGGAGTATAATTACTCATAAAATTGTGGTTTACATTTCTGATTTTCATTTTTTTTACTGTGCTATAAAAAAAATTATATTTATCTGTTTAAACTTCTGTTAAATGTAAATTATATTGCATCATTCTTTTTTTGGCGACAAAGGCATGAAGTATCGTAAATTACCTCTATCCTTACATATGAGAGTATTTAAAATGTTATGCTCCTCCACCATGCTTCTACCTAATATCCGTTGTTTGATTTTTTATTTATATAGTTTTGTGTTATTTTGCTACCTTTTCTATCTCACCAACAGCTAGATTTTCTTTTGAAAATTTCAGCTGCTGTTATATTTAAACATAGACCAGCAAAATTCATTTTAGGTATTCTGTTAAATCTATTTCACTGCTTTAGTTTGATTTGTATGTGTCTATATCCATATAGCAAAATACTATATATATTTATGTACTAAACCAAGTTACAAACACACAAACATTGTTTCATAGGAATTGCAATATTTATAGAAACTGGTTTGAAAAATTTGCTTTCTTTAATCCAAACACATTATATATAGCATAAATTTAGCATAAATTTTGGTCATGTTATCTGTGTATCTCACAAATGAGTACTGTGCAATGTATTATTTAGGACATTTTGGCTGAGCTCTTTTTGGTGTTAGGATATCCCACACCTCTGCTTATGTGTATGCCTTTTTGCAAAAAGACATTGTGGATTACATTAATCATACTACTATGGAAGATACTACAGAAGCTTCAATTGGTAGATATGCTAATTCATCCTTGTAAAATTAGTGCTAATGGAGTTATATTGATTGCTAGTTACCTTCCAGGTACAATTTAAAGTCCTTGTCACCTTTAAAGCCATACATGGATGGAGCCTGGAATGCATTGTTGTGGTCCCTTCAAATAATGATACAAATATGAATCACTGTTTCCAGAGCCTCGTGTTATAAGTAGGGGCTCAATTGGTTCAGCAGGTGAAGGTGAAGGTGGACAAAAGCTTCCCTACTCATGGCTCCAATTGCACATCCTGTAGTGAGTCAGAACTCCCAGTGAGTCAGGGATAACTGCTCCATCAAGGGGAATGCCCCCTCATCCAGGTTAAAATTAGAAGCTCACAAGACAGATAATTTCTGGACATAGAGCAACTCAACTTTCATAGGGTACCATCTCAGACTTTTACAATCCATCTCAGCACTTGCAGTCACAGGATTTTGTGATGCCTCCGATTAGTGTCAAGTGGAGATATACTACTGGATAACATCTGCATATTGACAGTACCTCATCCAAAACTGATATACGTATCTATATTAAATTGATTTTGTTGTTGTTAGTTACGAAGTTGTGTCCGACCCATCGCGACCCCATGGACAACGTTCCTCCAGGCCTTCCTGTCCTCTACCATCCTCTGGAGTCCATTTAAGCTCATGCTTACTGCTTCAGTGATTCCATCCAGCCACCTCTGTCGTCCCCTTCTTCTTTTGCCCTCAATCTTTCCCAGCATTAGGCTCTTCTCCAGTGAGTCCTTCCTTCTTATTAAATGGCCAAAGTATTTGAGTTTCATCTTCAGAATCTGGCCTTCTAAAGAGCAGTCAGGGTTGTTCTACTGTAGGACTGACCAGTTTGATCACCTTGTAGTCCAAGGGACTCGCAGGAGTCTTCTCCAGCACCATAGATCAAAGGCCTCAATTCTTTGGTGCTCAGCCTTTCTTATGGTCCAACTTTCATTAAATTTCATTAAATTGATACACATAGTAGAGATGACTAAGCCTTTTGACATCTTTCAGAAGAGCCCCCACAAATCTTTCTTTATCGGCACTATGAAAACACCATAAAACCATGTTCCTAATTCCCAGCCCTCACAAGCATTACAGAAGAAAATGATGATCTTGAAGATCATCAAGACGTCCAAAAGGATTAGAGGATCACAGTACCTCTCTCCAAGTCTTGATGAAGATTATCTTCCAGAATTACCAAAGTTCCACCTCATGCCTATCTCTGAACTTTGACTGAAGAGGGTTAAATTTATTTATTAATCAAATTTATATAGCTGAAAGCTGACTTGGGCAGCATGCTACAAATAGTTAAAACCACATATAAAAAACAAGAAACATAAAAATATACAGTCTCCTTCCTCTAAGGCTCTGTGTAACTGAAGCCCTACCACCTTCTCAACAACCCCTTATGAAGATTCTGCACTGCTGCCATCTTCAACTCACGAAGCATAATTCCCTTTTATGAAATGCTGACCACTTCCCCAATCAAGCTACTCAGATCTCCTCCCCAACTCCCAAGGAGAAGCACTTCGCGTGTGGCAATGTTCATGCTCACTTCACCAGAATCTACAAGCTGAAATAAATCTCATTAAACAGCATCAGTCCAGTCACCCCTTTGAATGCCACTCATGCAGTTGAGAGAGGTGAGACCTGAGACCTTTTGCAGTATCTGTAAAATGTGCAAATGCATCACAGTGGCCCTATAACAATTCTGTGAACACTGTTTGCAACCTTCTGACAAACAAAATCAATGGGGAAGCCAAATTTACTTAACAACTATGTTAGTAACTTAACCTCTACAGTGATTCACTTAACTGTGGCAAGAAAGATCATAAAATGGGGCAAAACTCACTTAACAATTGTTTTGCTTAACAATGAAAATGTTGGGCTCAATTGTGGTTGTAAGTTAGGGACTACCTGTATTAATAAAGCACCTTAAAGGTACAAAGGTTAAGATGCTGGGCTTGTTGGCTGATGTACAGCATCTTAACTAAATCTTAATCAGCCCCACCACCTTATGAATATCCTAGGTGGCATTCACATCAGAAAATGATCTGACCATGGCAAAGGACTCACCAGCAACATCCTCCATATTCAGATCACGTATCAACTATTCTGAGGTAAAACCAAAATCCAACTTGAACTAACCATTGGTGTCAGACCAGCAATGGTGGGTTGAGCGTGAGGTCACCATGGGAGCCATGGTGGATTCCTAGCCTTCCTAGAACCTCCTGTCAGAACATGGAGATTTATATCTTCAAGTACAATAGTAGGAGAATTACAGAGATGACATCAAAGATCAGGAAACCTATCAGGCAGCATGAAGAATAATACACAAGTAGAATCTTCCAGCTTGTGCCATCTTACACATTACCATCACAAAAGTAGCAATTCTGATAACTGTAAACTATCTCACATTGCCCAACCCTAAGTTGGTTTCACAACTGTTATACTACCCAAAACCTAAAATGACAGATCTCTTGAGAGGGTTACATATCAACCTTCACCTAATAATCTTTCAGTAATATATGTCAAGTCAGTCTATCCACTACTACTTTGTGGATAAATGTAGATAAATTACAGGTGAACCTGAATTTACTAACAACTGATTTTGAGTTGAATTGAGGCCAAAATTGACAGCAATCTATCCTCAAGGTGCTAGCAATGAAGCAGCTGGGCTAGAAATAGGGACCAGGATTCCTTTTCCTTTGAATGGCTCACTCAGTGACCTCTACTCTATCTCACCTACCATATTTTGCCTGACTCCATCTACCTGGGAGCCTGGCCAAGCTGTATAGCCTCTTTGGCTCCATATATAGATATCCCCTGTAATAGTGCCTCTTGGGTTCAGCAGCATTTTTTGACTTGCCATAGTGATTTGTCCCATAAGCAAGAGCAGAGAGTTTCATTTCAATTGCTTGTTCTTTGGGTGGCAGCTACTACCCATCTGGTATGATAGCTGGCAAGTCTACCCTCATCAAAAAGAGCTAGGTCTTAATATTTTACAGCTTACTATTTATGGCTTAGACATTTGTCTTACCAAATATTTACTGAATTGCAACATGATCACAATATTTTTCAGCAATATAAGCTGGAAATCAGGGTAAGAATTAATGAAGCCTTTGGAAGTAGAAGACTGCCTTTTAGTTTCTATTTTTGACTTACTCACCCTCTGTAAGTATAACTTGCTACTCACCCATTTGTGTGATGCACAGAATCATTGCATAGAAGAACATGTTGCTTACTGCAACTGTACTTTGTAGACACATCTGTGCATTCACACAACCCACCCTCTATCCTCTCACAGGCAATCATTCCATTGAGGGTCTACATCAGCTAATGGAAGGCATGAGGTACCTTCTTAGCATTATCATACACATAGGGGTAGAATATCCTTCTTCTAAAAACAGTTCAGCTCTCAATGGTACATTGCACAGAAGGCCATTAGAAGAACCTCAGTTACAGGTGAGTAACACCTTACTGTGCTATTTCAAAAATATAAGAAAATATGATTCTGTAACATTGAGAAAGTATTACTTTTGCAGTGAAATGTACGATAATTACAGCCAGGCTATTTAAAACTGAGTGGGAACATTAATTAAAAATACTATTTGTAATCCATCATAAAATATAGTGTTGTTTTATGATATATATATTTTGCTTTCTTGTTAAATTTAGAATTATATCTTTATATATCTTTTGTGCTCTTTTCATTCTACAGAAATACATCCAAGAAGCTCGAAATCTGGGCAGCACTATCCGCCAGCCCAAATTGTCTAATCTGTCACCATCAGTAATTGCCCAGACCAATTGGAAATTTGTTGAAGGATTGCTGAAGGAATGCCGAAATAAGGTATGATATAATTCTTGACAATATTGTTCTAGCTTCTGTTATTCAGAGGAGTTGAATCAGTTGGACCATTATAGTAGACCATTATAATAGTAAATATTCTAATAATACTGATATCCTTTGATGTAACATCTTCACACAAATGAGGCAGACCTGATTGTTTAAGTGAATGCAAAATGTCCCCTTGATTGGGATAGAAATAAGTCTGTGTATCAGGACATTCTGCTAATGAGATCATTCTAATGATGGAATTATTCTAATAACATAGTTTTCTCTATATTTTGACTTCAAATTTTTAGACTCAAATGAACAAGTAGTGTAATACTATTTAGCGCTATTTCATGCACTACTGTGATTTGATGAATTAGGAATAATAAACTTCAGAAAAAAGCCATCTAGGCAGTGGTGGGATTGAAGTAATTTAACAACCGGTTCTTTGCTCTAATGATTTCTTCCAACAACCAGTTTGCCAAACTGCTCAGAAAGTTAACAACCGGTTCTCCCGAAGTGGTGCTAACTGACTGAATCCCACCACTGCATCTAGGTTAATTTTCAGTTTTTACTGACAGTGGCAAAACCTATGGAAAAGATACCAATATATATACTATTCATTTCTGTTCTCCCATTTCTGACTCTACAAAATACAGTGAGCCTTCCAGAATAAAATTAATTTGAAATATCTTCTGCCCAAACAAAAGAAGCATTATGAAACATAGTACATCGTATGGTTTAAAATTACATTTTCAAACAGTGATCAGAAAAAGACTTGGAGTGGTTCAGTGATTACTATTTTTGTTAACCATGATTTTAAATCTAGAATTATAATAAATAAATACCCAAAAGATGTTCCATTAACATAGTATATTATATATTACAGTTCCTTATTCCATATCTCCCTATAATCTTGAATATTTAATTTGGTGTATTCCGACAACCTTTTGTAAATAATTATTATAAGCTTTTTAGCAAACAATTGTTGCATTCATCTTCTCCAGTAACAAAAATTCACCATGTGAACATGTCCCAAAGGTGCTTTTCAAAAGGCAACTGGACTTCCTTTGTTTTCCTTGAAAACGTTTCGTTTCTCATTCAAAAAATTTCTTCAGCTTTGACTGAATGGTGGGGAATGGAACGATTTATATTCTTTGCAGTCATCCATGGTAACCTTCAGAGTGCTAACACCAGATGACTACAAAGAATATAAATCCTTCCATTCCCCACCATTCAGTCAGAGCTGAAGAAGTTTCTTGGATGAGAGGCAAAACATTTTCAAGAAAAAGTTAAGTTGCCTTTTGAAAAGCACATCTGGGACAACCATTGACCTGGATGATTGAGAATTTCCATAGGCACCATGTGAACATATACAATCCGCCCAGGATTTCCACAAAAAGCTTTATTCGTTTCAAAAGTGGATTCCCATAATGTACATTTATTTAAGTCATTATCATCAAGCCAGTGTTGTGCTATTTGTACTACTCCATATTTTGTCTGTTTAACGGCTAATATAGGTATGCTAAGAATAATATAGTAATTAAATCTGTTACCAACCATTTCTGCTTCCTGGGGCAACTGCAAAATATTCTGCAGGGTCAGATTATTCTTAGGCTCTTTTTATTGGCATTCTCTGATAAAACATAAAACTGGAAAAGCATATTCATGAATCCTAAAATAAAAGCAATATTTGTTTAACAATTTCTGAGTGAAAAAAAGTTTCATTGTAGAATGCTAACAACGGGTTTAGCTTAAAAAGTAAAGTATCAGAAAGCATCCAGCTCTTCTATTTTTGCTGCAGTGAAATTTTATACTCTTGGTACTTTGATGTAACAGCAGTTTCAGGTATATCTCCACATGTTAACTCCTACACAGACAGTTCATGACAATAGCCTCCATAATCAGTGTAGTAAATAATTCCTATGGAGAAACTAGGAACAACAACAGCAACAACAATACCCCTTTAAACTGTAGAACAGCAGGCATCAAACTCGACCTGACCTTGGCCTCAGATTTCTATTCTAGCACAGTCTGCTAAAATTCACTGTTAGAAAAAAAAATATCCTTAGTGTGTTGGCTGCTCCTGTCTTTCACCAAGAGTATCTCTGACTACCGGATGAAAATGAAAAGTGGATAATTCAGCTTTTATCAAGTGAGGAAGGCATTGTCTGTTTAGAGTTACTTTTGAGATAAAGACCCATACAAATATATAAAGACTAGCTTGCCCAATGGAAAATTCTAGGAGGGCGAGTAGGTATTTCAAATTAGAAAAATAAAACACATTGTTTACATTGTTTGATATATTGTTTGTCTATCTAAGGGTTTGATGTGTTGCAGAAATTCAGAGGTAATCTAATTCTCTTTTCTGAATTCAAGTACATGAGATAGGGACTGTATAGCTTAGGCATTTTGAAGATCAATTTTTCAATTAGCGTTGTACCTATTCTCTTGCACTTGGTTATTGAAATATGAGTAATATGTGGCAATTACCGGCACTGGAGTATAAGACGCACCTACCTTTTTTGGTGAGGAAAAGAAGAAAAAGAAATCTCCCTCTGCCTCTGCCTCTGCCTCTGCCCAATTTTGCTTTGATGCAGCAAACAGCTGCTTTACTTTCATTTTTGTTTTCAGCATAGCTTGATTAGCACGAGGGGAAAAAAAATCTGCTCCAGCAATTTACCTCTTTGCAGCAAGCAGCAGAGCCCTGTGCAAAACAGCTGAGAGCAAATCAGCTGAGAGTCTGGAGGCCGATTCAATCAACTTGTGCTAATTAGGCTGTGCTGAAGCTGAAAGGAGCTGGTTTTTTTCTTGCTGTTTGCTTGCAAGGAAGTAACTGCTGCGAGGCAGAGGCCAAAGGGTGGGGGCTAGTGGGTGGGCGGGGCTATATTCGGTGTATAAGTCACACCTAAATTTTCACCCCCTTTTAGGGGGGGGGGAAGGTGCGTCTTATACTCTGAAAAATACGGTACCATAATTTTTAACTAGTATGCTAATGTTTTAAATTCCTCTACTTTTCCTTTACAAATAATCATAATTTTTAACATTTATGGATAAAAAGAGGGAATCTGCCAATATCCCACGCATATATAAGCACATTATTTTAACGTATTGAGCAGGATGTTGGAGAGTTTCTTATATAAATGAAACCTTTTTGCCTTTGACTTCCCTTCCCTGGATTTGCACACATACTAAATGATAGCAGATATAAATGATAAATCATAGCAGAAAAAAATTACTGAGTCAATCAAATACTTTAATTTTTCTTATGGCAGATGAATGTACAGCAGATAAGTGATCAGTACTGGCAGAATGTCATAATGGAAAAAAAACCTGTTGGTGACTTTATATCTATGAAATATAGTATATTTCATACTGTAATAAATTCAACAACTAATTGTATTGCTGCTTATTTTGCTCATTTGAGATAAAAGAGGATTCTGACTTTTTCAAAAAGCAATCATAACTTTTACATATGCTTTCTATTTTGAAAGACAAAAAGGATGCTTGTGGAAAAAATGGGCCGAGAAGCAGTAGAACTTGGTCATGGTGAAGTAAACATTACAGGAGTGGAAGAAAACACATTGATAGCCAGTCTCTGTGATCTTTTGGAAAGAATATGGAGCCACGGACTTCAGGTGAAGCAGGTAAGAAATTTACTTTTAGGGATATTTAATGCTGATTACACTTTTTAATACACTTTGGAATATTAATGTAAATGTGAACTATTGATATAGAGTTGGATTCAGAAGAGGCTGCCATGAACAAAAAATACACAGTCAATCAATACCTGCAAATTTTCCATTACTCTTCCATCTTCCAATATCACTGACTTACTCTTTCAGTGAGTTTCCTAAATATTCAGTGCAGATTTTTTAGAGCGTTCAAAATGCGCAGAGGAAAGGCTGAACTGATAAAAATGTGTTTGTAAGAGCCCTTTCTTTGACCAGAAATCTACTTGTAGTAATTCTGGATCCAACTCTTATCATTCCTAATTGTTTTTCTGGCATCTTTACTGTGAGCTTTAACTAGAAGATAATACAATTAACTTGTTTCAGGAATAGCTAACATCTTTTAGAGAAAGAAACTGACAGATTTTCTCTATAAACACCTTGTTGATTATGCATGAATACAAAGTGAGATCAATACATATGAAATATAGAGCATTTTTAAAAAAATATTTCTGGTCATTCAAGTAGGGCTCCCTTTGTCTGAATCCACTTCTAAATTGTAATAGTTTCTGTGTGTGAAGGATATGCTGTCTGACTTTTCCCTTCCGTTTATATGCTGCATAGGATAGAAGCTGTACTACTTTCATCCTAGAAGATAGAGCATCAGTATACTCTGCTACAACTCAGATTTGGGCTTTTCAGACCACCAAGCGGCCAACCATACATAAGGTTAATTCTTTGGACTGATTGACAATGTTGGCAAACAGTGCTGAACGGTCTGTTGTGGTAGAGTATTCAGGAATCTGATGTAAGATTCAACAGATCCAATCTTTTTTGCAAAATCAGTTTGGTTTATACCATATTAACCTAATTCTAAAAATATTTTTTCAGAAAGCTATGCCTTTTATAAATACACATGAGGATAGCTTCTTTTAACGCCTCATACCATATACAACTTTTGCCTATTCCCTTGCTACTGAATCCTTTTTGTTATCTAATTATCAATTTTCTTCATCATTTGTAATTTTTATTTGTTAATCAAATATCATTTTGAGATGTTTGATCATTTGTCAGTTCTGGGATCATTTTCTTTGTTATCATTTGTCATGTACATACATATCATTCTTCTCCCTTGACTTTGAAAATGTGCTCTTAATCATAATTCCATATAATGTGGTATTCATTTGTTTTCAGCTCACACAGTTTTTTGTGCTCTTTTCATGACCCCCGTTCCAGCACTGGGAGTCAGCATACCTGTTGTTCATTGTGTAGGTGTTACATGGAGATGCATGGTTCACAGGGATATTTGCCCTTATAATATAAAATGTATTTTGTATTACTTGCAGTAGTATAAAAGCAATTGTAATTATAGAAACATCAATATTTAAATTAAAAACTTGTCCAACCTTGGACTTTAAGGCAAGATTGTGAAATCTGGGTTGTAGTGTGCCTTAAATAGAAGTATACTAACTTTTCATACTTCATTAATATGCATGAGCCTTTAGTTCACGCATGTAAACTGGATTAGCAGTAATTAAATTAGAGAATCTCCACTTTTGTGATGTCTACTTTTGTTTGAATCTGGAAATATTGTTATGCATTACATAAATACATACAACATACATGCATACAATAAATATAGTTTGGAAGTTTGATTAAGATCCTTACTAATTTTGAACTGATACCTATTGTTTTGAAATGTGCATGAAATATGAGATTTCAATTAGCTAGATATTTCTGATATATCTATATGTGTAATTAAGAGGCTCCAAGCCTGAACCAAAGATTTTTGCATAACTTGATTTCTACATTAGACAGAAGTAAGCTACATAAATGTATCTATGATTCTGCCAGCTTTTCATAGTCCTACTTTATATATAAATACATACAATTAAACTTATGATACAGATGGTGTGCCAAAATTTAAATAGATTCTTTTTTTTAATTGAAAAAGTTTTTCAAATACAGATTTTTCCCCCTTTCCCCCCCCTCCCTAACCCCCCTCCCCTCCCCTCCTCCCATGGCTTCTCCAAGATGAAATCCAAATTGATATCACATTATATAATACTTTACCACTCTTTTACACAACCCCCTATGTGCTAAACATTTCTTTCTAACATTATTATTATATCCCCTGTATACTATACATTACAACATTCGGCTATAAAACTATATAATAGATCCTAATTTGGCATTTATTCTACTCATAATCTACCCATTTCCTCCACCCCCATACGTATATCTCTTAATTCAAATCTTTTAAGTATATTAATATCTAAACATAACATCCGTTTTCCTAAACAAAGCAATCAGTAACCTAACCTATCTCCTTGTACCATATCAATTTTATTTCACCCACTTTCCTGCAGGTCTACCATATATAATATATTTAATATCTTTATTCTTCTGCCCGTATCACTAAAAGATATTTCCATATGTAAATAAAATCCTCAAATGACTTTAAATTTGTATTCCATATAGTATCTTCTGTAATGTCTTTCAACTAGATTGTTAATTCCATCGACCATGTTCGGGTAACATCAAATCCTGCTTCCAACAGTGTATTTAGTATCTTCAATTACCATCTGCCCCCATCATTGATAAATATTTCTGTATATAAAAAAAAACCCGGAGTGACTTTATATTTATATTCCATATGGTATCTTCTGTAATGTCTTTTGTCTAGATTATTAATTCCAACAACCACGTTAGGGTAACAACCAGTTCATCTGCATGCCCCTATTCCATAGTTCTCTTGCCTTGTAGCTCAACATATGCATAGTCCATCTTTCATAGAGTCCATAATAGAAAGTTCCAGTCCACTCAATCACAGGCCATCTTCCACATCCCAAAGACACCAGCACTGCAGAGATCTGTTATTCTTCTCAAAATAGCATAAGTCTGTAATTTGCCTCCGTTATGTTTTCATGTATCTACCTTCTATAAGTCCCGCTTATTATATTTAATCGTCTCTTAAATAACTGGCATTAATCTGTTGGCTAAAAAAGAATTGTTTAGTTTAAAAAATTTTAGTTTTGTAGAACCTGCTTCTTCTTTTCTTAACTTGTTGTGGTTTAGATCTCCACCCTGGTTGCCTTTCTAGGACTTGTATATCAGCTGATTGAATTACATGCTGGTCTTTAACTTGATAAGATATCAAATCGAGATCCAAAGCCGCCTCTCTTATATTTATAGGTGATCCAGCTATAGCCTCTAAAGGAGAATCCAAAAGCGGCTCATCCAAAAAGCCCTCTATGACTTGTTGTTTTTCCATTACCTCCATCTCCATCTGCTTAGCCTGAGTTTCAATCTCTTGTTCATTTTGCTTTTCTTTATCCCCCTCCTGTATTCCTGACACTGATAACATACGTGGAGATGTTGGGCCCATTTTAAAAACCTTGTAGTAAAATTCTTCTGCTTTTTCAACAGTGTTTAATTTATATCTTTCTCCTTGATATCTCAATATTATACCAACTGGAGCATCCCACCTAAATGGGATGTTTTGTTTCTTTAGCTCAGTCACCAAAAATCCAAAGTCTTTTCTATCTTTTAATATCTTGGACGGCAGCTCTTTATATATCCAGATCTTCATTCCATTCATTTCTAGAGTGGAGTTAAAAGACTTTTGCACAATATCATTTCTTATTCCTTTATCAGTAAAATAAATCACCACATCTCTAGGCAATTGTCTTTGCTTTGCCACCCAAGAATTTACTCTGTAGACCTTATCAATCTTACAGAATACCTCTTCAAAACTAACCTTTAAAATCACAGCCAGAACTTCAGCAGACATCTTTCTCAAGTCCTCCCTGTTATTTTCCTGTATTCCCCTCATTCTGATCGCAAATTCCATGGATCTGAATTGCATCATTGTAACTTCATTTTCAATCCTTTGCTTTATATTATCTACATTATAAGTCTTGTGATCAGCTTCCTTCATTTTAGACTCTACTTCTGAGCTATTTTCTTGAATCATTATCAAGTCATTTTCAATTCTTTGTATTTTATTATCCAGATTATGAATCTTATAATCAGCTTCCTTCATTTTAGACTCTATTTCTAAATTGATATCTTTATCCATCTTTATAATTACTTCTGAAAAGCTTTTCAAAGCTGTTACAATATAGCGCTTCAGGTTATCATACTTTTGTTGAACCAACTCTTTAATTTCCTGTCTAAATTTTTCAAGATTCTGATTCATAATCTCATCATGTCTTGCCAACTCCTCCACAACAAATTCCTTTAAGTCTTTAAAACCATTCTTCTGCATCTGCAAGCTCAAAAATTGCTCTTGTGATTTATAAATGGGGGAGCCCCCTCCCCACAGCTTGGTTGTCTGGCTTTGTCAGTTTTAACACCATCCTGCCACACAAACAGACTCTTTTTAAAGAAAAAGTCTTATCTCCACACAATATCAATATCAAGTCTCTAAGAAGGAAGAAGCATGAAACAGAAATTTTTCTCTTTTCTTCTAGCCAGCACTATTGCTTCAAATACTTTGTAGCATATTAAACCATTCAAACGGAAAGACTTTCGCTTTCAGCTTTCTTCTCAAGCCTCAGCCAGCCGCCATTTTAAACTTTTTTTTCGCCCTTTCACTCTTTCTTCATTCTTAAAATCAATCATAGGGTTGTTACAAATACTTGCAATTTAGAGTCCCAAATCCGGATTTCATCCTGCTTATTCAAGCAATCTGTTAGTTTTCGCTGATTAGGTTGGTCACATCGTCTAGCTCTGCAAAGCGCAGAGTTCCCCTGAAGCCCGGAGCAGTGGCGAGCTGGATAGGGAGCCTCATCCTGCTTCCTCCCCAAGAGTAAAAAAAAACTCTGGGGACTTCGCAGAAGGCTCTACCTGTTCTCGCCGGCTCTCCTCACATTTCCTTAAAGAAACGGAGTTTTTCGAGCTACCTCTCAGCTGTAAGGGCGGCTCTTTACGGGTGGCGGGGCTGGCGGTCCCAAAAGACCGTCTGGCGACGACGGAAGCCAAACCGGAAGCCTAAATAGATTCTTAAAATCACTATCGAACTGTCATGGAACATGATATTAGGCAACAAAGCACATTTAATGAAAACAAATACATTTTGTATTGACTTTAAGTTACAAATTAAAACAATGCAGTATAATACTAGATACATATCCAACTCCCAGGGGGAAAAAATATTGATATCCATATTCAGTCTACCTACTTCTCTTTCTCAGTTGACACCAAGAAGCTGAACATGAATATTACCATCATCTAAACTGAGATTATCAGGTCTTTGGGGCAACCTTCTATCCTTGAATTGGTTCAGCCTCGGTTGGTCCCCAAAAGTTTTATAACTGTAAGAATTGGTACCTGAGAATTTAAAAAAATTATCTTCTTTATGGTCTCTGTGTATGAATAATGCATCTGCACAGAATCCTTTGTTGGAATTTTCTAGAAAAGAAGCATATTTTTCAGCAGGAGGTGCTCTATTAAGGACTATGCTTCTAGGCACAATTAATCCCTTACTTCCAATTCCTTTTCCACTGTTGTAGAAGCATGGCTAGGATTTTTCTCTAATATTGTAAATTCTCATGGGTTCCTTAGGTTCTTCCATCTCATTTTTCTTCTTTTTTTCAAGAAAAAAAACCCTCCCTTAGAGTAAGAGTTGGGGACTATGCCTTCCTTACTGAGCTTCCAGTTTAAACCCACTCAAATATTTTTCTACCCCGTGTTAACTTATTCAGATTAGTTTGAGCAGACCACGTTTTTTGGATTTAGTATCAGAAAAGAAATTATGAGAATCTTTTCCAACTCTGTTCTGAAGAGTGGGAGTCAGTGGGCTTTTCTGCATAGCACTTTTAAGTTTCTTGCTTAAAGTAAATAAGCAAGCAAGGAAGGAAATCCTGATTTAAGAGATTGCTATCTGGATTCCAGGCCACACTTCAGCTCTGGCCAGGTATTATGTCTGAGCAACAGTTGTCTCAGCTCCCAATTCCCCTGTTTCTAGGGGACAAATAGCAGTCATTTCCATTTTTGTGGGTGTTTGAAGCATGTGGGCATGTAATTTTCCACTAAGAATTTTCCACCCATTGACTCTCTTTTGTACTTGAACAGAAAGGTCAAAAGCCAACAATAGCAATTTAGTTAGATGAAAACAGGAAACTGGCAGAACTCTTGTCAATTCACCTAGTTAAACAAAGAAAGATCATCATTTCACTAGTTCACTTGTAAATCTGTGTTTTTTAAAGGCCCTATGTTTCACCTCTGTCTCTTCCTGGTCACATCTACCCAACCCGTCAGAGCCGGGGGGCATGGAATGCGGCGGGTCCCATCCCCTAGGGAGATACACCTGGTGGGACCCAGAAGGGCCTTTTCTGTGGTGGCTCCCTCTCTCTGGAATATAATTCCTCTGGAGATTAGAATGGCCTCCACTCTAACACTCTTCCGGAAAGCATTGAAGACCTGGTTCTGCCAGTGGGCCTGGGGAACCCAGAACAAGATGGAGCTCATTAAATGGTTCATATGATCTGCTGTCACCGGGGCGAGGGGCAGGGGGTAATTTTATTTTATTCTATTAATTTATTTGATTCTTTTTTATCAGCTTTATTGTTTTAAATGAGGTTTTATATTCTGTGAGCTGCCTTGAGTTACCATGTGCAAATAGGCAGCGATATAAATTCAATAAATAAATAAAAATAAATAAATAAATTGGTCCCCTCTGATCAACTCTCAACATACAGTGGGTGCACAGGTGATTAAGAACTAGTGAACAATTGCTTTGACACCTGCCTCAAAAGGACAGAGTGGATCAAGTTTTACATGGTCATGTTTATCCTCTTAGATGCGGTCTATCACCACAGTGTGATAGAAAGCAGTGAACAGTGGGAGGAGGCATTCTGGCAACTCTGTACATAACCATTAGGAACACAAATTATACCTTGATCAAATTAAATTATAGCAGAGAAACTTCACAGATGAGTTTGTGCCCAATCAGGAAACCCCACTTTTGAAATGTAGCAAGAAAGGATGATTATCCAACATTGTAAGAATGTAATTCAGTTCCTATTCTTAATGGCTAGCTCTGTTATATTACAAGATCGGGAACTAAAATATAACTTTTGTTGCATTAATTTTTTTAAAAATGTGGGAAATTGCAGAAAAATAAATACAATAAGTTTTAGAAAACCATGCAATAAAGGATAAATATATGTTCAAATTGTCCACTATTTCTTAGCTATATTAACACCATTTTTCCAACAAGATCAAATTATTCCTATAAAAATATTCAGATACAAATACTAAATGTGGGTGATTTTAAACTTTATCCTTATCATATGTGTGTTCACTGAACAAAAAAGCATCAGGGCAAAAAAGTACAGAGCTGAAAAACAAACCAAGAATAAAATAAAAAGAGAAAAGAAATAGAGGTATTTTCATTTGTGGATGTGTTATACGTTTTCCGAAGTTTCTTTTCTTCTTTCTTCTATTTTTGTTTTTCTTCTTGGTGTTTTTTTTATTCTTAACTGTATTTTTATCTTGCTATTTTGTTGCCTTGTTCTATATAAAAAATCAAGGAAATATATAAACTTTTTTCATATGGCCACGTATCTGAGACATTTGCCTTATGGTTGTTCATCTCCTGCTTCCATAAAGATTGGACAGATGCCTTGGATTGATATAAAATTTCTTTCTGTGAATGGATGCTCTACCTTTTCTCTTTTGTTATTAGGAACTGGCTAGGAAATTTTTGCTTCCATGATTATTATTAAGTGCTTGAAGTTTTTAGTATAATGGCAGAAATAGGCAGAAGAATAATTCACCCATTTGTAAATTAAGTATTTTCTCCACATGTTGAACACTTTTTCTTATGTGATTATTTTGTGTTCCATTACCTTATATTTTAGCTATCTATAATGATTAGGGCATCCATTTCCAAGTTTCTGTTCCTGTCTTGATAGAACTTTCTGGGTGGAACTTTAACAATGTTCCATATAACTTTGTGGATTAGCTGTTATAAAACTATATTACAGTGTGTTCTCTGTATTATGTTACAGGAAACCCAAAAATTTAGTAAAGGCTTTAAAATTAGTTCAGGACTCTGAACAACCCGAGGCATATTATATAAGGACTTTGGACCAAAATAAAATTTTGAGAGAAATAAAATGTAATTGTGGGTATATAAAAAGATAATGTAAACTAAAATTGTAATGATGTCCCTGTCCTAGGACAGACATAATATAATTGACAAATTTCCAATAAGCAGCCTTTCCCCCCTCAAATAATACGCAGAGAATTGTTGTGTTTGTGTTACAAAGAATAATAATCCATGCTCTGTCATATGAAATGTGAATTTACAGTATGTATTATAAAATGACCCCATCACATAGTGTTTAAAAGATTGAGAATGAGAATGAGTGATTGAGAAAATCACTTTTTTAATAAATTGAATTAGTCTTGCTCTTTACATTAATTTCCTTTTACCAAAAGAAAAAAGATAATAAAAGCTGATAATACATTTTGATGCAATTATTTGTTTTAAAATGAAGAACAACTTTCTGTATAAAATACATTATGTGTATGTGTGCATATATCTGTAGGCTTATAATATGCAGTATTTATAGTCTTGGTACTGAGTTATCGTTTTCATGTTTATACATTTATAAACCACTAAAAAATTAATCACTTTGTTAGAGAATATAGACAACTCCCCAAAATACCAGAACAAGTACCCCAATCTTAGTCAGTTGATTATGTGCCATCAAGGTGGTGTCCATTCTGACCACATAGGTAAACCATCTCCAGGATGATGTGTCCTCATCTTAGTTCCCAAACATGCACCCATCATGCAACTAAGTCAATTCATCTTCCTGGCCAGCCTCTTCTCTTTCCTTTCACCTTTCCCAGCATTATGGACTTGTCAAAGGAATTGGGGTTTTGCATCTCAGTCTATAGAATTACCCAAATTGATCTTGAATATGAACATGGGAATTTTCATAATAGTCTGAAAATCTTCTGAAGTTTATTCCAGAATATGCACACTTGACTTAGAATATTTTTTTTCCTCTATAACTGAACTTTATTATCTCGGTTGAATAGAGTGGGTACTTTTTTATAATAAAGCACAAGATATACAATGTGTCATGCTCTGTATTAGAACTTTATTTTGCATTTGACAACAAATCTTTCTTTTTAATCTAAGGGGAAATCTGCTTTGTGGTCACACTTGTTACATTACCAAGAAAACAGACAGCGAAAACCTACATCTGGAAGCTTCAGTACCTCAGGTGCAGTTGTCTTCCATAAAAATTATGTTGCCATTTTGTACAAGAAAAAATAAATTATATTTCTTAATTCTAATAAAAACAGAGGTACATAGAAGATATAATTATATATTTATTTACTGAAAGCTTAACTCTGATGTAAATTCTATTCTCAGAGTAATATTAATTATTCTAGAACAGTGGTTCTAAAACATTTTAGTTTCAAGAATTCTTTATATTCTTAAAAATTACAGAAGATACCAAAGAGCTTTGGTTGAGTGGGTTACATCTACTCATATTTACTGAAATTAAAACATCTTTAAAATATTTGTTTACTTTGTGAACACTGTAAGGAGGTGCACAGGAGTCTCTGGACTATACTTTGAGAACTGTTCTGGAATATAAATATTCTATTAGGTATCACCTAAAATTATTATTTTAAAATAAATAGTCCTTTCTGAGAAAAGCACCATCATTGTGTTTGATGTAATATGTTTTAGTCTATATTTTCACTGCACTGTACCTGTTATAAATTCATTTTAGGACTTTAAAAGTCAAATTTATTGGGATGAGTTCAATTATTGGACTAGTTGTGCAACATAGAGTTTTAAATCTTAATAAAAAACCTGGAGTTACTAAAGATGTGTTTTGAGTCAAAGGGCAGATACTGCCTCTCCAGTTCCCTTAAACTATTGCTTGTTTAATTTGCCCATAAGAATATAACGGTAACTAGTGAAAAGAATATTGTAGTAGCACTTGGTTCAACCCAAGAGCTAGTTTCTTATGTATAAAATATAGCTTATTTTGAGTCAAGAAAAGTATATGTCCTGTATTTCTGCACTTCACACTATTCTGGAATTGTGAATAAGAGTATCTAGTTCAAAATACAGAAAAACTGATGTGTTTGAATTGCAGTGCCTTTGGTTAATCAGATTTGATTAGCTCATTGTACACATTTGAAATCATGCCATAGTATGCACTGGAACTGTACTTCAAAGCCTGCAAACAATTTCAGCTTGCCTCATCACTTATATTGTGTCCTCTGCCCCCATTCTTCCAAACTATTGATCTACGGCTATGCAGATCCAATTAAACCTAATTTAATTGTTCTAAAAGCAAAGTCTATACAGTATTCATTTTCAAAGAATAGTTTTGAAGATTTTTTTAGGTGATAGATTTCAGATTTACTAACTTCCACTCTCAATAATTTTTACCATGTTTTCTTGCATCTACCAGCTCTCAGTAGAAGAAACTCAAGGTGGAATAGATTTTTCAGAGAATATGTCAAATAAGGAAACACAAATCTCTGTTGATCAAGCTATAGAACTTTTAGAAAAAAAATACTCCTTAATATGAGCATTACAACTAATGTAAAATGTGACTATCAACTGATGAGATAATGAAAACTACTGAGGGCTCATATAAGAGCCTATATAGTAGGCTTCAAATCTTGCTCAAAATCAAAGCATTTGCATTTTTAAACTTTTAATCAAATGTTTGTAACCTTTATTTTAGGAATTCTTCTAGATGCTGAAAGACGGAAGTCAGATGCCAATCCAGGAATGTCTCCTTTAAGAGTATCCCTTATCCAGGACATGAGGTTGGATTTTTGAAATCCTAAAGATCTGATAAAAGTTTTAATCATATTTTTAGGACAGCTAAGTTTACAATATTTCATTTAATTATTTAATTTCACTCTTATTATTTTGATTATATTTTATCATTTTGTATTTAGGCAAGAACCAGAATCTTAAACCAGTTTATCGAAAAGTATGTACCAGGTATATTCAGTGGAATATAATGTTTAGTAAGTCAGGTAAAGATTGAAATCTAAACTTCAGCTAATTTTGAAAAATGATCTCACTACAGTTTCGTTAAAATTTCTGTCTTATTTAAGATCACTATCTCAGGATCTGTTTGTTGTTAGCTTCCTATTGGAGACAACAGCTACTTTAAATAAAATATTTGTTGAATCGTTGTTGAAAAATGCAAACTTTCAAAAGACAATATCATAATATAGTTTGCTTTTAATGTAATATGCTCTAAGGAATATTTAAAATTTCAGTATAGTTTAAGAAGATATATTATTAAATATTTTAAGCTTTTTGTTAACATTATCAGGCTAAGACTCACAAATGGAACTATTTGCTTTCATCTGCTGGATCCCATTGGCAATACATGAAGATAATAATATGTCTATAGTCAACCTTAGAGTGACAATGAAATGTAGATTTTGATTTTGTATACCTTTAAGAGACTCAAGAATAAAATAATTACCAGACTAAACACATATTATGGCTTTATTGGCTGGGTTTGGTGGGGCAAATGAATTCAAAGATCTACTAACACATAATACAAAACTGGGCTAACCAAGCAAGACAGCTTGTTAGCAGCATCTACTCTCAGGCCATGTTGGAGTATAGGAATACACAAGGACATGTTTTTACTGGATCAGTGTTACATCCCAGTTCTAAGCTTTAAAGAAGGAACTCTTTTTTCTAACTTCCAGGCATTCTAGCCATGTCAGTGTGAACTTTCAGATAGAAACTACATAATTTCTAAGTACATATTTATACACTTTCTAGAACATACTTTATTTTCAATACTAAAAACTTGTCTTATCATGTAGAATTCACAATTCTAACTCACAGAATATTCTACAAAAAAAATCAAATTCCATTTTTAGTATAATTAGCTAAATCTGAATTTTTACGAAACAATTCAAAAATTGTCTCAGGTGGGGACACCACTACCCAAATTTCTCTGGACTATGAAGTTCAGGGGATTGGAAGTTAGACAAACGTCTTCCAGCAAATGCATGTCATGGGTGAATATGGGAAATCTACATGTCACTTAAGTAAAAAAAAAAATCATTTTTTCCCTGAGCTGTATATATTTTACTTGGTATGTATTTTTTGTTCTATGCATCTTTTATATTCCTTTTATGCTTATACATTTCCTATTTCATCTTTATGCTAGAAGAGAAACTATTTTTTCTTTATTAATACTATATTATTAATGAATCTATTTCTCTTCCTCAGTAAAAGGTTTGGCAATAATAACAGTATAACCTATTTTGCTTTTCTTTCAGGCATATTCAGAATATAAGTGAGATCAAAACGGATGTTGGTAAAGCTAGAGCTTGGGTTCGACTCTCCATGGAAAAGAAATTACTTTCCAGACATCTGAAACACCTTCTTTCTGATTATGAACTCACAAAGTACGTTGAAACAATCATTTGCTTAATGGACATGAATCAATTCATATTTCCTTTTATATTCACTTCTCATGCCTTATAACAAAACTAATAGATACTTAAGGTATACAGTATGAATTTCATAGTTATTTTAAAAGATAATTTTCAAAATAAGATATGAGCTCAAAAATTTAATCCAAGAATTCTATGCCATTATGAATTGGCATGAGGGAAAAAAAGAAATCTAAATATACCATATTTTTCCTTCCCAAAAACTAAGATGCGTCTTATACTTCGGAGTGTCTTATAGTCCGAAAAATACGATAGTTTACACCAATCCATTCACTATATCATTTAATCTTGCAACTCATATTTTCTTCCACCATATCCATAATTTGTCTTCTCTTCTTTAAACTTCTTACCTCTCTTCATGAGAGTCTCATTAATTCTATCCAGCCCTGGCTTTCTTGGTCTTCTCATTCTTTGGTCCATTCTCCCTTCCTTCATATATTTGTTTTTTAGCTTGATGTTCCTTTTCCATATATGACCAAATCACGTCAAGTATTTCTTTCTCACAATTCAATTTGTATCCAATCCACTTTCATTTAGCACTCATTCATTCTTTATCCCAACTCTTCTTTTACCATGCACACCTTTTAGTAACCTAGTCCCACTTTCAACTTTCTCCTGATCTATGCAACTCTCATTTTAATATGTTAAAGTGGGCAGAGCAGAGATTTAATATGGAACTATTCCTTATACATTTATCTGTAAATAATTTAAACAACTAAGAATTATTGTACATACTTGTGCTGCTCAGTGTTGAACCATTTTCTGAGTATTTTATTTATTGTCAAAGTATAATTTTGCCTGTGTAGTATGTATTCTGTCATATACTACCCAGGCAAAATTCATACTTTCACAAAATGTACAAGCCTATTAATTTTTTTTCTAAATCAACATACAGTGGTTTTGGAAATGTCGAGAAATATTGAGAAAAAAACCCTCCTTTTAATGTCTCTTTCCATTTGGAAGGAATAAAATTATTTTCTGAGATATAGATTTGCCTAAGAAAAAATATTAATTAGAAGATTATTTTTTAAAAAATGAAAATATTCCAGAAAGGGACATACAGATTAGGGCAGATCAGGGAAATTATTATTAGTTAACTTTAGAACTAGGAACCTGAAGATTCAATTTACTGGATACCCTAAGGCACAAAACTCAGTGAGTGACCTTTGGCTAGCCCCTTTCAGTCCAATCTATTTCTCAGGATTGTTGATGTTAGGAAAAAATAGGAAGAGGAAACATTAAATATACTACTTTGAATTCCTGAGTGAAGGTATTATTTAAAACTACTAAATTAATATATACTAATATTCAACACTTTGTTCAGGTAATAGAGACTATATTTAATTGTGCTTAGCCAAGAGAGTAAATCAATCTACAACTTTCTTGTTCTATTAATTACTATTTCTATTTTTTTTAAATGGCAGTCTATACATCTTATGCCTTTGGAGTTAATTCCATTAAATAAACAACTCTTAAATCTAAATAGAGCATTAATATACTTGCATTGTACATTCCAAATAGTTTCTGATGATACTAAAACTAGGATTGAAATATTTAATAGTTCAAAACGTTTATTTCTTTATCTGGATTTTTACCTTTCAACAATCACATTTTTTCATATTTCTAAAATAGTTTCCATTCTTTAAAAAGAAATGTGGATCGAAATTCATATAAAGCACATACAAAATCTAAAAGACTCTAAAACAGTAATCCATTGGTTTAGTTTTTGTCAGTGCATTCTTCAGAACAAAACTTCTATTATAATTATAAAGTATTTATTTTCTTTGTCAGAAAACTCTACAAGCGTTATGCTTTCCTCCGTTGCGATGATGAAAAAGAACAGTTTCTTTATCATCTCTTGTCATTCAATGCTGTAGATTACTTCTGTTTCACCAATGTTTTTACAACAATTTGTAAGTATAACTTTTTATTATTGGAAAAATTTCAAATTATCTTGTGGTACTTAATTTTCTATAGTAAGCTTTTGTAGTTCAGACTCCACTTTGTCAGATCCATGGAATACTATTTTCATATGACTTGTATATGTATACCACTATAGAGAGCTAAAAGTCTTAGGAGAAAAGTCACAGGAAAATGAAATGCAAGAAATGCAGATTCTAAAAATTATGTAAGACAATTATTTATAAAGCAATATTAATCCCAACACATTATTCAAATTTTAAACTTTGGATTTCTCAAGCCAGGGAAGTTATAATTATATTTATTTTGAGATGTGATAGAAAATATATTTAACTACTATAATTGATTTTTATCAGTAAACTGGAAAGAGAGCATTTTCTCTCCCTATGCAGGGAGATATATCTATACCCTATATACCCTCAAAATTTGTTATAGAAAGTCATGACTTTGTGTGGGAAGTGAAAAAAGGACCAAAATGCTTAAAGATACTTAAATGAACATTGGTCAGTACAAGACGCTGAATGCAATTCGGTAGCTATAGGGCTGTGATGGCGATATGGCACGCGTAGCCATATCAGTGGCTAACGAGCCATTTCTGGCCTCTGGACGGCCTCCGGGGGGGGGGGGAGACCATTTTCAACTTCCCCAGACTCCTAGAGAGGCTCTGGAGCCAGGTGAGAGAGAAAAACGGACCTTCCAGGCCATCATGTGCCAGGAGTGAGGGGAGCGGGGTGGGTTTCACATGTGTGGGGGGCAGGGCGCATAGAATTATGGGTGTGGGCACGCGTGTGCAACCCCCCGGTCCCCGCCTCCTGGCACGTGATGGCAAAAAGGTTAGCCATCACTGCTATAGGGCATGCATTGTCTTACATAGAGTGTGTTTTTGGAAGAGTAATTTTCAAAAGGCAGTTTATAGATACAAATATTTTTAATTGTGAGACAGGTATTTATATGTGCATATTTGCGTACCTATTTGCGTCTTCCTTGGATCAAAAATATTAGTGTATTTATGTAAATAGGTTTCCTGGAAGCAGTGATTTTTAAAAGCGTTTTGAAACTGTCTCATTTATAAACAGAGAATAAAACAATATCTATAAATTTTATCTATAAATTTGCTAAACACAATTGTAACTGGTTTGTATAATTTATACCTAGTATTTTAGTAAACACTAAAATAGTATAAGGGATGGAAGCGGGGTGAAATGCTACCGGTTCGCACTGGTTCAGGTGAACCAGTAGCTATGGCAGCGGGTGGTTTGGAGAACTGGTAGTGGCAGCAGCGCAAGGCTTCACCCACCTGCTCAGACGTCATTACTTCCTGGTTTTAACCAGGAAGTAACCTGTTTTCTACCCTCTGCGCATGCGCAGAAGGGCTTGCGCATGCACAGATGGTCCAAGTGCGCACGCGACACACGCGCGGGGGGGGGCATGTGTACTTCTGAACCGATAGGGAGGGTAAGTAGATTTCACCCCTGGATGGAAGTAAGATCTGTTCCCATCTTACTTATCATATGCTGTTGCTGGCTTTTTTTTTTCTTTTCATTTGGCTCATGGGGCCAGTATTGGGCTGATACTGGAAGTTAAAAAGTATTAAAGAAGAAGGATGATTTTTACACACATCTCCTCAAAACCTTATTTAGCTTATTCATGATATATAAAGATTTCAGTTACTAAATACAGCTTTGCTAAGCAATACTTTTTAAAAGAGATTTAAGAAGAGTATGTATGTATGTATTTCAAAATTTGCTAAGTTGTTCTTCAAAAATAACCCCAGCAAACTTATAACACTCTAAACTATTACTTACTTTTTTTAACTGATATAATTCATAACATAAATCAATAAAAGTTAAGCAGACGTGCTTGGTTTAAGAATTAAATTGAAACATAAAATTAAAAAGCTTAATGCTTAAGGCCTGGAAGGTGACAAAATGAACTGGGAAAATTCTCAGTGGAAAAGTTTCTTACTGGGGAATTTCTCACTGGGGAACTATATATTTCAGGAGTAGCAGATTCTACTGACGAAGCTCAGTAAAGCTCCCCCTGCATTTATTTTTGGAGACAATTATCCAGCTGTATGTGTGTTTTCTTTTTTACAGTGATTCCATACCATATATTGATTGTTCCTAGCAAAAAACTTGGTGGCTCAATGTTTACAGCCAACCCATGGATATGCATTTCAGGAGAATTGGGTGAAACAGGAATCCTGCAGATTCCAAGAAATATGCTGGAGATGACATTTGAGGTATCTCTCATGTTGTTGTTGAACAGAAGAAAGCAACTTTTCAATCACTAAGCCCTGTGCTTTTGTTTCAAAAAATATTTTTCAATGATCAAGGGCTACATTGCAATAATGTAAAATAAGTAGCGGAGGCTGGCTAAGAGTCCTTTAATGTTTTTTTTAAAACAGGGAATAGCTTACACACCTTTGACAGTTGGCCTTTAAATTTTCAGCAGCTTTATAGCTCAAAACTACAGGTATCCCAGAGCCATGGGATATCTACCTCAAGTTAAAAGAACACAAAATAGAAAAGCATGGAGATTGTGGGGGAAGGAGGGAGGGAGAGAGAGAGAGAGAATTTAATAAATTGGCCTTTGAAAATATTTATTTTTGTGGATTCCAGCAAACCCTGACAACTATGATCACAAAAGGAAGTTTACTAAAGGAGGAGCAAGGTTTCCCCTTTCTGCATTTAATTTGAAGTTTTGAGAAAGTTCTACTAACTGATTTTGAAAGGACCGGCCCGCAGGGTCTCTGCCAGCGAAAAGGGAGCTCGGGAGGGCCCTCCCAAGCTCTGGTTTTGCTGACAGAGGATTGCAGGAGGCAGTTGCAGCCGAAAACTGAGCTTAGGAGCCTGTTTTCGCTGGCAGAGCACTCGGGCCACCACAGGCGCCCCTGACACAAGTGACGTTGAACTGGCCATGCCCACTTTGGCCCCCCGAGGTCAAACACAACTCTGATGCAGCCCTCAATGAAATCGAGTTTGACAACCCTGGTCTAATGAAACAGAACTTTCAATGATTTATGGAAAATCAGCAAGGTAGGTATCTGGTGCCTCTCTAGGATTAATGTTACAAAGAAGGAGGAGGAGGATGCTGCGTGCATTCCTCTTAGTGCTCCTTTGATCTCTCATGGAAATAGGACCCTAAGCAAAACCTCCCTTTTACAATGCATGAAACATCAAAGTCCACTTGAAGGGGACAATCCTTAAGGTAACCTGGAATTTATTCCCATAGAGCTTTATAAGTAATAAAGAATTTTGATTGGACTTGGAAACTAACTGGTAGCTTGGGCAGTAAGCAGAGAACATCCTGGTACTAATTGTCAGCCATTAATATCCCAACCATTGCAAAGTGCACCATCTGCAAATTCTGGGTCATTTCAAAAGCAATCTCATATAGAGCATGTTAGAATGGTGTTCAGGACATAAATAAATGTTTCCATAACTTCATAGTCAAGGAAGGGGTGTAGCTGGCAGATTAGCCAATGCTGGACATGCATTCTTTGCCCATGGCTTTCCTCTGATGTCCTGCAGCAGCCATATGTTTCCAAGTTGTGGACCTGTTCCTTCAGAGAGAGAGAGGATCCCATCAACAACAATTGCTGAGTCATATTGGAGAAAATAGAGACTATCATATTATCCTTTTAATTATTAAAATTCCAAGCTTCTGAATGTCAGCTACCTTCTCTCCTTTGCATTTCTGTTGTTCCAATTGCAGAGCAAAACAGAATTGACTTTGAAACGTTAACTCAGATCTTTGTCTTCATGCATCTCCAGTGTCTGCCTAAAGTCCAGTTATATCTTCCCTCTTCTAATATACATTAATGAAGGCATCTTGTTTTCTCTCTTTGTTTTTTTTTTTAACCAATATATATATATTTTCCTAATTTTTAGTGTCAGAATTTGGGAAAACTTACTACGGTACAAATAGGACATGATAATTCTGGATTGTATGCCAAGTGGCTAGTGGAATATGTTATGGTCAGAAATGAAGTGACGGGTCATACTTACAAGTAAGGTTCCTTTCAATTTATGCATTGTACAAATAGTATTTGAATTATTGAATTCAATGAATTATACGCATTTATAGTACAATAAATATGATGGCCTCATTTTCTTGTTTCTGTAACTGTTCCAAACAATAAAGACTTCATCTGGTCAGATAGGTATCATTTTGCTTTCTTATTTTATGAAAATAAATCAGCTACTAATGCAGATGACCTGCAATATTGTTACATATAATAACCTACAATGGTGTAAAATTCAGCTCTAAATAGTGATCCCATATGTGCAGAAGGTATTTGGTGTCTCTCAAGGATGTATCAATCATGATAACCTTTCACCAACTGAACCTGCAAATGTTGCAAGTTGATTTATTTGGAATTTTCTATTTCACATATAATAGATAATCTTTTATCTATTATAGTAACTTCCTATTAGTTTCATGCTTACACAAAAAATGTGCATTGACTTCTGCATAAATTGGAATCTAATGGAAGAATGGAGCCTATATAGTATACATCCTGATTTTTTAAATCAGTATTTGACAGCCTAAATTGTTCTACAGTATTACACCCCATCTGTAGTCCATTCCAAATATTTGTATGCTTAAATCCACAATTTTCAATTATTTTGCTTTCCAAAAGCTAAGCTTTTGTGAGACAGAAACAGTTATATCAGAGGTGGGCAACCCAATGAGTTTATTTGAAACCCCCGTTATTCTAAACCCGCATTGCCAAAATGTAGCAACGAAATAGTCAAATTATAGTAGATCAATTAAAGCTTATTGCTGAGTTTGTGGTCTAAGTTAAGGATTCATTGTGGAAATTCTCTGCTTCTTCCCTCCCCCACAAAAGAACTCGAGGGGAAAAATCAGGTATGCATCTTCCAGTGGAAACACTGCAGCATCAAATAGCCTTCAGTGATCTTTCAAAAACTCAATACAGTCAGTTGTAGCTCTCAATATCGCAAGAATTGTCTATCCTCAAGTTCATGAACACAATTCTGCTGGTTCAATTATTCAGTAACTGGAAAGATTTACAATGGAGCACACTCACCTTACAGAGGAAAATCAAGTCTGTTGTGTGCTGTCTTATTAAAAGTGCAATATGAGCAAAATGACCCTACAGTACTTTCTTTTCTTTATTTTTTCCCCTCAGGTTTCCATGTGGAAGATGGCTTGGAAAAGGTGTAGATGATGGCAGCTTAGAAAGGATCCTAGTGGGTGAATTGCTGACATCACATTCTGAGGTAGACGAAAGGCAGTGCAGAACCCCCCCATTGCAGCAATCCCCCAGCATGATCAGAAGATTTGTCACCATATCACCTAACAACAAGCCAAGTAAGCTGGGTAGATTGTAGTTACTTCCACGCATAGTGTCTATGGAGATTTTCAGTCTTCAAAGAAAATCCAGAAAATCCAGTTGCCTCTTGAAAAACATGAGAAGGCTGAGAGAGGATAGTATACTATTCTTGTTTAGTATTTGAAAGATACAAAAAAGATCATCATCCCTTCTATACTGCTGGACAGCATAAAGCATGGGTATCAAACTCTCCACATCACATTGCCATCATTTTCCCCCTTCACGGAGCTGAGGTGGGCATGGTCTGTGCATGACGCATCGGCCCACGGGCCACCAGTTTGACATCCCTGACATAAGGCATAAGTAATAGGAAAGAGTTTGTATTTAATGTTCGGTGGGGGGGAAACCAAACTTCCCAACAGGAGAACCAATTATCCAGAGAGCTGGACGGCTTCCCATCCGTAGTTGTGTTCAAACAGAAGCTTGTCAATTATTTGCTGGGGATATTTCACTTCCTGCAGTAAACAGGATTTGTCCTTAAAGTTAAGTTACAGATTATGCACAAATTAAAAAGTTCTATAAAAAAGAGAGAATATGTTCTCCATTCTTACTTTTAAAAGGACTTGACTTATCTGTGTATAAATTAGACATCGGATTAGATTTTTAAAATATTTTTTTTTCCTTTTGCAGAGTTAAATACAGGTCAGATACAAGAATCTATTGGTGAAGCAGTAAACGGAATTGTCAAACATTTCCACAAGCCAGAGAAAGAGGTAAGCTTACTATACATGGCAATAATGGGCGTTGATAATTTCTTCCTTGATTGATATCGGCCTAGAATTGACTAATATAATTGCTAATTAATGTATTAATGTATTTGATAATCCATACCTTTACATTAAAGGTATGATAATCCATACCTTTAATGTAAAGGTATGGATTATCAAATACATAATATTGTATATAATTTCATATTGTGGCATTTTTTATTAGGACTTTCAAGTGTGTTTGAAAGCTGTAATTAAGTTCATTTGATCAGTATTAGCCAGGGGTGAAATCTAAAATTTATTACTACCGGTTCTGTGGGTGTGGCTTAGTGGGGGGGGTGTAATGTGACTGGGTGGGCGTGGCCAACTTTTTTTTTTTTTACTTTTAAAAGCATTTTTTCTATAACCTTAAGAGGTTGCAGAAAAAAATGCTTTTAGAAGCCTCTGACGATCAGGCAAGTCAGCTGGAATCGCCAGAGGCTTTTAAAGACATTTTTTTTCCTACAACCTCTTCGACTGAAGAGGTTGCAGAAAAGAATGCTTTTAGAAGCCTCTGACAATCAGACAAATCAGCTGGGATCACCAGAGGCTTTTAAAGGCATTTTTTTTCCTACAACCTCTTCGGCCGAAGGGGTTGCAGAAAAAAGTCCTTTGAAAAGCCTCTGACAATCCCAGCTGAGCTGCGCGATCATCAGAGCCTTTTTTTTTAACTTTTAAAAGCATCTTTTCGGCCGAAGAGATTGTAGAAAAAATGCTTTTAAAAGTAAAAAAAACAGCCTCTAATGATCACATGGCTCAGCTGGGCATGGGGGGGGCGCAGGGATTTTTGCTACCGGTTCTCCGAACCACCTGCCGCCATCGCTACCAGATCGGGCGATCCAGTCCGAACCGGAAGCATTTCACCTCTGGTATTTGCAGAGGTGAAATATAAATTTACATCTAATTTATCTTTTACTGTAATTCTTTTAATTGTTACGAGCTGCTCAGAGTCATGGGGGTCAGGCAGCATACAAATTTGGTAAATTGTTATTATCTGATAAAAAAGGGCTAGGTGAACCACACTGTGGAAATCAGAGGCAATTTTGGAATTTGATTTGTGTGAATCTGGATCAACATATAATAATATAATATTATTATATGTATATGAAATCTTAATCTGTTCACCGCCCTGAGTCCTTCGGGAGAAGGGCAGTATAGAAATTCAATAAATAAATAAATAAATAAATAAAACAATACTTTCCTTCATTTTCATACACAGAGTACTTTCTCATCTAAGGATTTTTACTAGTTTCCCTATTTTGAAACTAGTTTACTAGTTTCCCTATTTTGTAGTAGTAGACATATCCTTGTAGGTCTGGCCCAGGGGTGAAATTCAAAATGTTTCCCTACCGGTTCTGTGGGCGTGGCTTGGTGGGCATGGCAGGGAAAGGATATTGCAAAATCTCCATTCCCACCCCACTCTGGGGCCAGCTAGAGGTGGTATTCGCCGGTTCTCGAACTACTCAAAATTTCCGCTGCCGGTTCTCCAGAACCTGTCAGAACCTGCTAAATTTCACCCCTTTCAGGCCAAACAGGAAACATGACCAAATGAACTAATTCTATTTTATTGTAAAGCTACATTAACAGAATCTGACAAATTAAAGTACAAATTCCTGCCATCTCCTTTACAATCCGAGAAGCTAGAAAGGATTCTTTTTGAACTTCTTGCTCTGCCCCCTTTCTAGTTGCAGGCTATATCGTCTCATATCTGAGCATTCCTTAGGCAACATTTCTTCTCTCCTCTTCCAAGGTGTTTCCTACATACTATTACAGATACCCAGTAGCATAGCATCCATAGCGCAAACAGAAGTTGTCCACTATTCTCCCTGCAGTTTCAATTGCCTGTTCTGCCTATTTTGTCCTTTCTTTACGTTGTATGGCAGAGGTCCCCAACCCCCAGTACATGGACCGGCAGCGGTCCGCAGCATGTCAGAAACTGGGCCGTGCAAACAAACAAAACTCCATCCACAGGATGCAGGCAGCACACAAAACAAGGCCCCCTCTGGCCCATGGAAAAACCTCTCTCCACTGTCACTGGTGCCCAAAAAGTTGGGCGCTGCTGTTGTATGGTAAAAGTTCATTGTTTTCTTGCGGATGCAATCTGGGGGTCTCCATTTATACCAGTAAAAGGGCTGTTGTTATATATAAATTATAGATTATCTATCCCTGTTCTAGTGTGTTACTCATTCAGTAGTTCTCATTTTGCTCCTTTTAAGTAAATTTAATCTATTAAAATATTCCTGAATCTTTTTAATATAATAGGTGGAATCAACATGAAATATAGGTAGCTTATGGCAAATGTGTATAGTATTCAGTTAGTTACAGTGGTGGGTTTCAATATTTTTTACTACCGGTTCTGTGGGTGTGGCTTGATGGGCGTGGCATGGATTGGTGAACATGGCTTGGTGGGCGTGGTGGGGAAGGATATTGCAAAATCTCCATTCCCTCCCCAATCCAGGGGAAGGTTACTGCAAAATCCCCATTTCCTCCCAATCAGCTGGGACTTGAGAGGCAGAGAATAGATGGGGGTGGGGCCAGTCAGAATTTTTACTACCGGTTCTCCGAACTACTCAAAATTTCCGCTACCGGTTCTCCAGAACTGGTCAGAACCTGCTGAAACCCACCTCTGATTAGTTATCACAGGCTATAGTGATTTATGGTTAGACAGATATATAAACAACTTAAAAATATGTTTTGTTTGATTTTCCATTGGCAGAGAGGAAGTTTAACACTTTTGCTTTGTGGAGAAGGTGGACTTGTTTCAGCTCTAGAGCAAGTGTTTCAGCATGGATTTAAATCTCCTAGGCTCTTCAAGAATGTTTTTATTTGGGATTTTCTAGGTAAGTACAGAACACTTGCTTGGAAATATAATCCTATAATATCTACTTTGTCGTCTTAAATGAGCCTCATGTGTAATTTGAATTATTGGTTATTAAAGTAAACACTATTTAGAACTAGAAGTAACTTTTAACACCCATTCTTAATATAAGAAAATGAAATGAAGCAATTATTCTAGATAATATTTGAAGAAACAAGGCAATATGGAAGAAAGTAGTCAAATAATATTTGGTACTAAGCACCAAGCGAAAATATGAGTGGTATTTTATCAATTGCCTGGATATCAGTTTTTAAATTTGAAAGTGTAATGATATTTGCTTTTTTATGTATTATATACATTCTCTACTAATTCTCATTATAACAAAGTTGAAAACAATAATATAGTACAGGTAGTTCTCAGCTTACAACAGTTCATTTAATGACCATTCGAAGTTACAACGGCACTGAAAAAAGTGACTTATGTCTGTTTTTCACTCTGACAATTGTTGTAGTATTCCCATGGTCACATGATCAAAATTCAGACACTTGGCAACTGACTCATATTTATGACAGTTGCAGTGTCCTGGGGTCATGTGATTCCCCTTTGGTGATCTTCTGACGAGCATATTCAACGAGGAAGCCAGATTCATTTAACAGTCATGTCACTAACTTAACAACTGCAGACATTCACTTAACAACTGTAGCAAGAAATATCATAAAGTGGGGCAAAATTCACTTAACAAATGTCTCTTAGCAACAGAAACTTTGGGCTCAATTGTAATTGTAAGTCAAGGGCTATCTGTACTACATAGATATTAGGTGATCAGAGTAAAATTGGTAAGTTTGTATTTAGAAACACAAAAATAATTCAGTTACAATCTGATATGATTAGATGACCATTTTTTTTTTTGTTTTATGTCTACCTTCAGAAAAAGCACAAGGATTTTATGAAGCTCTTGATCAGAATGAACTGGTCCCAGAAGAAAACTGGCAGAAAAGGGCGAGGAGTTTTTGTCGCTTTGTAACAGCCATCAACAACACTCCTAGAAATATTGGAAAAGATGGCAAATTTCAGATGTTAGTTTGCCTTGGAGCTAGGTATGACTCTATGGCTATTGCTTTGTCTGTAAGCTGCTTGCTAGAATGTTTCCCTAATTATTTTGTTCCCTTGTTCTGTTGATTAGGTTGGTGCTGTTTAAAGAAGAAGTATTTGGTCACTTAGCTAGCTTTTAGAAACTTAAAATAGAAGATGGTTATCCGTAATTGGTTATTTTGTGACAAGGGATTTTTTTAAAAAATAATCAGTGTGGTTTAAGAAAAAAAATAAATAACGAGAGATGGTGTACATGCATATATAAATGCTCATAATTATAGATTAAAAGACTGAAAATGCAAGAAACCCTAGATATGAAAAGGAAATTAATGTGTTGGAAAAAGAAATGTTAGAGTTTTTGTTTTTGAATATTCACTAGTTCTAATCTTTGTACCTTATGTTATAATAAAGGTATTGTATTTGAGCTCCTCAAATGTTATAATGGATTGTAGCTGAATGAAAATAATCCTTTTAGTTGTTTTGTTAATAGTTATCTTCACAATCCAGTTCCAGTCATTGTCAGAACTGCTAGCATCTGGAACTATTTTAGTTTATGAGTTTATTGAGAGAAGTAAATACAGTTTTTTTTAAACTTGAGAACTAAGTCCTGTTAGTGAAAAATATTTAAACTCTGGATAGTTTTTACATAATAACAGAATAAAAAACCCACAGTGAATAGGTACACAATTTGCCAGTATTGATTAAAACCCCAAATCATTTGAGAGATGACAGACAGACACACACACGTGCACAAGATACATATATATGCATGGTCTTTGAAAAAATTAATATTTGAGTAACCATTTGAATCTTCTGGAAAGAATTATTATGCTAGGATTTTTTTTCCAAAGATAAACCTCTTCTTGCTCATTCCAGTCCTATGTCTCAGAAGTCCTAATATTCAGAGGAGGAAATTTTTTCAGCCACACCCTATATTTCATTTTAATTTTTTTGTTTGTGGGGGTAAGAATTGCACAAACAAGCAATAATTCTATCCAAATATTTTATATACTTTTAAAGAGAGTTGTTTCTACTTAAAATAGTTAAACTTAATACATGTTAAAGATTTTGGAATTCCTTTTTATTGTCTTCAGAATTTTGGTTGGAACGCTGAAAGTCTCAAGCAAGGTATCAGCATTAAGTCTATAAATTGCTTTCACCATGCAATTGCTTTCTGTTAAAGCTATGATTGCTGACATTCGGGACTTGTGAGAGTTATAGTTCTAAAAAATGTGGAGAACTTCAAGTTAGCTTGTCCATACCAAAGCTAGGTAATATATATGTGATTGCTAAATTTGAGTTAAGAAGGAGTGATAATACAAGAAAATTTAGTATTTTTCTTACAAAAGAAGATAATATTTAATGCTTGTTTTCAACCTCTAAAACTTTCCCTTACAGAGATCATCTCTTACATCATTGGATTGCTCTGTTGGCAGACTGCCCCATCACTGCTCAGATGTATGAAGATACAGCATTGATAAAAGATCACACGCTTGTGAATTCTTTGATCCGTGTGTTGCAAACATTACAGGAGTTCAATATCACACTGGAAGCATCCCTTGTCAAAGGAATTGACATCTGATTTTGCCTCATGCAACAAGCACTGTTTAAAAAAAGCAACAAGGAACAAACTATTGTTAGTATGCAAAGATTATATCTGCTAATACATCGCATCCAAAATATTCATGTGACTCAATGCAACTCTTCTGGAATGAAGATCCAAATGGTGTACAAAAATATAACAAAAACTGTACATCTGGTGTGTAAAAGGAAAAAGGATACTTATAAATTACTTTTAGAGTTTATTTGCTGATTTGCTTTTACACGCTTTCATGTGAAAGAGTTAGATGAGTATTGTGCAGCTTATTTTAAAGCTGTAATATTTCTTTGCCATAGATAATGGTGCAGTGAGAAGCTCTTAGCATTCTCTCAACTTGCCTTCAGACTGTATCCTGAAAAAATGTAATTAACACATTCCAATTTCTGCTAAGTCACTAAGCAATTAAAAACTAATATTTTATTACGTAAGTTACACTATTTAGCATTTCCATGTTGAATCACTGCTGTGCTGCAAGAAACTTAGAAATGTAAATGTTTTTAATAGGCTCAAAGCACTGAATTCATTAGCAATTTTTCTTTTTTTATCAGTATTATTTTTAGCAGATTTTTCAGGAGTGAAACATGCAGATAGATGTTCAGAAATCAGTAGTATTTTTTCATACATGAAATTGCACAGAGAAAATTATAAGTGTGTTTTAACTGGCATTTATTTATTTAACTTTTTCGTCATGATCTGGTCTTTGCCTTTAAAAAAAAGAATGCTATATACTTGAGTGCAGTCCCCATAGACAGAAGCTCCAGAATAAGTATCTGCAGAAAAATATGTCTCAGCATGGACATGCCTTTCAAGTTCAATCAGTTTATATCTAATGATATTTCAGAACATAAAATACAAATGTGATTATTTTAAGGTCGCATATCCCCCTACGTAATGGCTAACAGTGTAATAATGTGACACTTGTTGGAATAGCGTATAAATATGCAGAGTCACAGAACAAAAATTTCACACTTGTGTGACATCTTATGATACTGGCACAATTTTATTACAGCATTATAAGCACATCTTTTGGTCAAACATTTGGGATTAGTATGAGTGAGGTCAGTATTACTGTGACTTACTTATGCTGTTACTAAACCTATTAACATAGAAAGGTTTTCAGATCTTGGTTGACCCTACTTCATAGGCAGAAGATAACAAACATTTTCTTTTCAAATGCCGAATGTCATGTTCTAATTTTGCTTTGTTAAATGGAGGATTTCTTGGATACTTGTGAACATTATGTAAAAATATTAGCCTATTCTAATAAAGTTCAGATGTGGATTCTTATAAATAGTAAAATTCCAATCAAGAAAAAAATCTAGTGAATGCCTAGAAACAACTGTCATTATTAGTTGAGAATTTAAAATCCTTAAAAAATGCATACCTAATAGAGATAATACTGAGATACATAGGACAAGGGTTGAAATCTCTGTACTATAGTAGGAGGGCTTTTCTGTATGAACACATATGGAGCTGTGAAAAAGGAGTCTTCAGTTGTCAGTTTACTCAAGTAGCATTATTCTTAATTCCTACATTTTGTGGTTATTTTTTCCAGTAACTTAAAATACAGCACATGTATTAAATTTTACTATTTTTACTTACCTTGTGTTTTTCATTATTATCTTGAGAAGCGTTCATTATTGTCTTCTTTCACTTCATTTTTAATCTATTTACTCTTATCCTAAGAGGAATATGCTTGATTCTCAAAGGAGCACATTTACCTTTATTTTATTTGTTGATCTATACTGAAATCTCTCTGTGTGTTCATCTAAACATATTCTTTTCCTCCAAAATTTTATCAGGAAAAGTCTTAGCTAACTGCACACAAAACTTTTCAAGATAAAAACACCTGTTTCATATTCTTTTAGGCACTTTCTTTTGAAATGCCATGTTCCTTAAACTTTTTTGTATAAAATGTCTTCTGATAGATACAACTTAATAGAAGATTTGTACAATAGTAGCTAATGCAGGGCGTGACTAAAGAATTGTATGAATGTATATTACACTTGGCTTAATCGCAATTATCACCAGCATCTATACAGAAAAAATAATGGGAAGTTGTATTATCTTTGTTTTTGTTTGCATTATGCAAGGAGAGTGCAAATCACTCTCTGTTGAAGGATTCTTGGTGCTACCCTATCATATTTCAAACATATGTGGTATTTAAAGTTATTAAATTTCTTCCCATTGCATACAAGAATCTGTTGATTTTAGGTGGTTCCTTGGCCTAATATGCAGTGGGACAAATTACTTCTGGTAAAAGAACCTGAAGCAATATATTTGTCAAGCATGATTTATTTAAGAACCATGTTAATGGTTCTATGAACATCAACTATAGATTTGTAATCTTTCAATATCCACCTTATCTCCCATAATCTTGCAATACATGACAGGCCTCTTAAATCTGAGGGCATATATAGTGATATATTTAGGAAAGTATTTTAAACATTGTGTGCAATTGCATTTATGAATACACAAGAAATAAAGGTCCAGCATGCTTCTAGGATATCACTTTCTCATAAATATAACTGTACCTCTTCAGATGAAAAGACAGTAGATACTTATTTCCAAACAAAATATCTCAATTATAGAGGCAATATCAATGTAGTTCAGTTATTCTTTTATGCTAAATGGAGGGCACAAAAACACTTCTAGATTCAAACTGTGCACACAAAATGATATATTTCTTGCAAAACTAGAGAAATAATCAATTCTCAGCATGGCACTGATGACCTAATTCTCATAGAATGCTGTTTCAACACTAGAAATATCATTCTTGTTAAAGCGTAACAGTTAACAGAATTCCTCCTTTTAAGCTGTATGATTCAAATACTTTCATGTGTATAAGAGAATAACAAGGACTGCATTGTATTTATTTGATAGGCAACTATACCATTTGTCATCAAAATTGAAATTTATCACAAAAAGTATAGCTTTTTCCATTTACTAACAAGTCAGTTGCAGCCCATTCCTTTCAATGGAATTTTCTTCTATACCAGCACATAAACTTTTAAATCATATTTCTATCTAGAGGAGAAATACTTTTCCACTGTGAAGAATTTTAAGTTTCAGACTAGTACTTCAGAACTTTGTGCTTGTGCATTGTATATTTCTAACAATATAGACAATGCATCTATGTTGATCTTTGGAGTATTTTAGACTTCCATTGTCATAGTTAAAATATATCTGGAAACATGAAAAAATCTTGAAAGTTACATGGTTTTAATTTTCATTTTCATTTTGGAGTTCCTTTTATACTTAGGGTTCTTTACTTTCCTCAAAATGCAGCTGTAATTTTAACAAAATGTGAAGAATTTTGGCACATTTTAGTCATTTTTATAGAACAGAAACTACAAGTATTTTATTCCTTTTCTAATTGTAATTTGTATTTTTAAACACTGTATAGATATAGCTTACTTGAACTGCAATAAAGTTTTTTCTAATATGATAAACAAGATTAATTTAATATGCCATCTGTGGTAATTATTTATCCTAATTGGCTTGAATTATGTAGAGGTATTTCATCACACATTGATATTTATTGCATGCAGCAAATTCTGCTAGAAACTTGTTTTTCAAAAAATCACACTGTTGAATTCATTCATAAGTTGCCGTTTCAGAGCTACTTCATTTCCCACATAATTTGTTCTGTGATAAGGATGCAAATCACACAGATTCAAATTCAATATCCAATCTGCAATGTTTTAAACCAATCTGGAGCCCTTCCCCCCTTGGACCTAATCATGGCAGAAATATTCCCTAGTAACACTTCCACTGCTTTGTCAATTTTCCTTCTTTATGTCCCGAGCTCTGTAGTGAGGCAGCCTCTCCATCAATTACAACTGAAGAACAAGAAGCTCCTTGGATGAAAAGCAAAACATTTTCAAGGAAAAAAGCCAAGAAAGTCCAGTTGCCTTTTGAAAAACATCCTTGGGACAACTGCAGCAGTATTAAAGCTGTATTCTTCACCTTATTTCAACGCTGTCCAAGGACATTCTCAAAGGTGTATCATAGGCTTTGTCACCTATTTCCTTGGAAATCAGATGGCCAACTAGGACTGGGAATGGAACCAACAGAAACAGGAAAAAGATTGGCAACAAATGTTATATAGTAGTCTTTTCTCTTGACTCAAAAGTTATGTGGATAGTTGGAAAAGCTCTACAATTCTTTTTTTTTTAAAGAAAATACAATATTTTCCTTTATCTTCAATACATTAATCAGTGTATTGCATGAATTTACATGTGACAATACAGTATACAGTAGTATAGCAATATCTCAGATATTTTTTAAAAAGTCTAGGTTCATTCAACAATCAACCCATTTCAATACTTAATTTTTGGTGGACTAAATACTGTACTGAAACCTATATTTACAAAAATACAGGAAAGAAAACAGCAAGAGTTTTAAGACTACTGCACTCTTATATTTTCTGTGAACTTTCACAGAAAAGTTGTGTAGTGATTTTTCAACTCTCCAATATATCTATGGAAAACCCTGCTGAAACAATTTAAAAATACCAATCTGGAACAAGTAATGTATACAAATTATATGTTGAAATCTATTACTTAAAAATAATAATTTCCTTGTTTTTTTTTGATAAAACCGAGCTGTATATGTGCAGTAGATAAACAATTCATTTTATGCTTTTCCCCAAAAATGTCCTGATAGCAGTTAATTTAGGTTAACTGTATATAAACAAGATTGCATAAAAACAATCTTTAAATGTTTTTATTTAGCTAAGCAATCGATTACTGAATAGGAACCCGGAATGTTTCATACCATCCCTTTATCAAGAGCACTATGCTTACCAGTATGATTAGAAGTTGTTCCGTCCCCCCACCCCCAGCTGATTTTTCTCAAAGTAAATTTGCTAGTGACTTCTACTTGGCATGTCTGAAATGTGTTGGCAGATAGTTTGGATTCTAAAGAAATAATCCAGTTGCTGCGATTTCTGTCATTTTCCTCTTTCAGTGAATTTTGTTAAAGAAAGTCTGGAAGAATTTTGCTTTCTCTCGAAGGAGGGAAGCCAAGAACTTGATATTATCCCTTCCTCCTGCTATGAGTTAGTGTCTTAGTAGTTCCTGGAATGAGTTTCCCCCCCAGATGCAGATGGCTCCCATTCTGCTGTTGTTTGAAGGATCTCTGAGGAGTTTTTTACCCAGGCCTTGGCAACGGAGAAGAATATCATTTTATTGTGCTTAGCATATTTTAATCTTCTATTAATTTTACTCTAATTTCTATGATTGTTGTAAGATGTCCTGAGTCATTGAGAGTTGGGTGGCATACATTATTAATATTATTATTACACCACCTTGCAGTTCTAATTTTTCCTTGCTTGCTAGAAGAAAGGTGGTTATGTATTTACAAAGATATGTATTGTTAACTTAAAAAAAAAAAGTTAGGCTGCAGCTTAAAAATCTTTATTTCCTGTCTTTAAGGTGCTAATTTAAAAAGCTGAAAAAAACTTTATAAGGTCTTTAATAAACTAAGTGCCTTTTGTATTTACTGAAATCCCCTACGCAAAAAAGGAACCAAATTGTGATATATTGACAGACGAGAATATTTGTAGCTCAGGGTTGAATTGTGGGATCCTTGGTGCTCTCTGAACTTGGTTGTTTTCTTGCAGATGTTTCATTACCAAACATCTAGCATTGATGATGTTGCTTAGTTTGATAATGAAACTAGGTCTTTAAGGAAACAACCAAGCTCAGAAGACATCAAGGACCCCACAACTGTGATATAAATTAGTATTATTGTGGAGAAAATAGGAGGAGGAAGATGTTTTGGATGTGTTCACCGCCTTGAGTTGTTTGTAAAAATAATAAAGGTGACATATAAATAAATATAAAATTATTGATGGTATGCCCTATTTCTGTATCGATCTGTATTTCTCCAATATTTCAAATCATACTGTACTATTATACTAAGATTCAGTCCAGAAGATATTTCCATACAGATAATTTTACCATTTTATGGAGCACCTTGATAACACATATCTAGCCCTTGTTGTGACCCAACAGTATCTGCTAAAAATGTGAAAGATTCAGAATTCAGAGAGATGTGAATTCAGCTTTGGTTTTAAAACAATCTGCCTCATCCATGGCAGAAATAAAGAAAACTAGGCTTAGCTTTCTCATGCACCACTAAGCCTCAATAGGAAGATAGGTTGAACCTCTGGATAGTTTTTGATTTGCTGGCTATACTGTACATAGGGCCTCAGAGACAGCATTTTCCTTGATCAGGTAAAGTCCTTGCAGAGATGGACTTTTAATTATTCTCCAAATTCTCTAAAGCTAAAGATAGTGCTGAAGCACAAAACTGCACAAGGCAGAAGGAAAAAATGCAGAGGATGTGTCTAATGTCATCCAAACAAAATGCACTTATGTCCAATCTTCATTATTTTTTTCTGCAATGAACGTGCCTTGAATTGAGGCCTTGAACTTATAATAACTCATTCAGCTAGGCTGACTAGTGATTTTGATTGTATTTGTTTTTGTCCAATAAACTCCTTTTTTATACTGAGATCTCCATCATTTTGTTCCCATCATAATGGAACATCTCATTAAAAATTTTCCCCACTGAGCAAAAATGCACCATGGCA